AGTATTAAATTGTTTCAGAAGAAAGATTTCTGTACAATCTATGTACAAATACATACATGTAATATTATATAACGAATCAATAATGTACAGGACGACAATAATGTAATTCTGCTTCAACCAAAGCTTAAAAATAGTTCTTCCATCGAAAAATACGAACAACAGAAATTTTTTTTTCCCTGTCATTGAAATAGTGAAATAAAATTATGCAACAAAAATTTACATTTGTATGACATCAAAGTTGCAGCTGTCCATTTATCCTTGACATGGGTAGATCTGGGGATGGGACCCATCCACCTCCCTGGAATTTTAACTTATTCAATTTCTATGCTTGTCGACTTTTTTTTTAACTTGTCAACAAATTTCCTTTTTTATTTTCTTGTCCCGAGTCTGACAATTTGTTACAGATGATGTTGACCTACCTGGAAAAATCTTAGATCCGCCCCCGGTTGAATGGAATCAACTGGCCGTATCAACCGCTTTTTAGCTGGTAATTTTTTTTAATTTTCAGAAGAAATATCGTACACGTACATGTATGCAGGCCGGTAGTAACGTTTTTTTCAAAGGGAGGACAGTCTCCAAAATATTTTACGAGTAAAATCAAAATAAAAAAAATACCCAAACTCAAATGAAATTGGGTTGGGTGCGGACTTAAAATTCTTAAAATCAAAGTTAGCGTAAATCATAGTTTCGTCGAGAAAATGTAAAAATTGTCTACTTGGTAGACCTCATTTTTACCCTACAAAATTTCCAGAATCCAGGAGCTTCCGGGGACTTCACCCCCTGGGCCCCCACCAGGGCTTCGCCCTGGACCTATTGGGAACCTCAAGGCGGCACCCAGATCCCCTGCCTACCCCCCCCCCTTTACTTCAATTTCTGGATCCGCGCCTGGGTGGGTAGGTTGTTAACTTTTCGGTAATTTTTTTTTTCAATGCAAGAATGTGCAACCAGAGTTCGACATTACTGCAACAAAAAAAGGGGAGGGGCACGCAGCAAAATAAGTCCCCCTCCCCCTTTTAGTACTATATTGGAAAAATGACAAGTTAGAGTTATCCCTCTTCCCATATACAATATCGTTGGTGGTCCTTTGTATAGTATGTACTGGCAAACCTATATATATATATTTCTTTCTGAGAAAAATCAATTTTAAATTACTTATACCCATTTGATTAGACTATGTTAATTTGCATTACTCTGAAGAGCAGGTATATCGAAATTAAAACTTCTTCAGGGATGTCGGGCGGACAACATTCAGATTAATTGAAATTTAAGGCTTCATAAGGGGATTCAATGGGGGGGGGGTCTTGACCTCTATGATTTTTAGTTTTATTAAATTATATAGTAAAGTAACATAAAATGGCTTTAGACAACTCTCGGAAAGTACGAAATAGGTTTAGGGTTTATGACCCCCCCCCCCCTCGCAACACACATACACACTGCCTCAATTTTTTCCTTGTTAAAATATTCGGTTGAAAATTGCTTTGTTTTGTTTTTTGAATGGTATCGACCCCCATAAATTCTTGGATCCGCCCATGGTGTTGTTGGGGTTCTTAACACTGTTTGGTGTTAAGCAGGCCAGTACTTCATTTGAAAGAAAGGGTGAACCGTAAAGAATTTTGAAAAATTGGACAGTCCTTCAAACCTGTAGGAAAAAGCCGTCTTCGCAAGGTAAGGGTTTTCAATCCGCTTCGCTCCCCCGAAAACCCTTGGCTTGCGAAGATGAAGAGACGCACGATCCATATTATAATAAAAAAAACTCAAGTGATTTTCAGGTTTGACCCAAAATCTCTGACAGATGATCCCTCATAAAATCACTGCCCCTTTGGCCAAAAAACCTTGTTATCGCTACTAAAAACCCCTCTGAAATCGTAAACCATAGAAACATAAAACTTCTCCAATGTATTAAATTAGGTAACATTCCAGTTTATTCATTGCAAAATTATTGACCCTTTATTCTTAATTTTCGTTTAATAGGCAGGTACACAACCTAGGCATACGAAAGAGAAGACTCAATAGAGATAGAAATTGCACCCTGAAAGTAAAAAAAAAAAAAAAAAAAAAGTCTTTTGCGCATACTTCTAGTTCGGGTGACCTCAGCTGCGCCATGACCTTTGGACTTTGTAGGATTGATGTTCATTCAATAGCATATTAAACATTTTTCCTTTGCAGAGTTTTTATTGATATAGTGGTTTATATTTTTATGCTTTTTTTTTCGAATCACCGCCTTGAAATGAACATTCTTTAACAATAATTTATGGCAGTTATTGCCATTCAAATTTTTTCAGCTTTCTTCGTCTAAACCTAAAATATCTAAAAGAGCGCAACCTGCAATGGGACTCGACCTTGACATTGAAAATGGATTAAGGTCAAATATCACTTACCAATAGATAGCACTGTGAATGTAGCTCTCTGGTTCGTAATTTTTTCTACAGTATATAGTTTATAGTCCAAAATGATGAATTACTTTACTAGTGGTAAAGTTGTAATAAACTTAAATTCAATGATAAAACTTACTTACTTACTTATCCTCTTCGTCCCCTATGGGACATAAGGCTTCAACAAGCTGTCGCCATCTTCTTCTGTTCTTCGCAACATGCTGTGCCTGTCCCCACGAGTAGCCCATTTCCTCTAGCTCTGATGTTATGGTTCTTCTCCACGTTGTTCGTGGTCTACCTCGTTTCCTCTTTCCAGGTGGTGTCCAGTGTAGGGGCTGTTTTAGGTATTCTGCTCTGGGGCATTCTCATCACATGTCCCAGTCATCTCAATCTTCTTTTCTTGATAATGATAAATGATAAAACAAAGCCTTGAAAAAGAAAGTGACAAGTGGAAATCTTCCTGAAAAAAAAAATCAGTCTAAAGAATTTCTTGGATTCAACAAGTTAAAAACAAGAAAATCTTTTAAGGAATATTCAGTTTATTAATAAGTAGGATTTTGAGATTAAATGCAAATTCCTCAGGACCATTCTATCCATTTCTCGCATCAATTCTCTTTTACATCTTCTGAAGAAATGTCATTTATAAATTCACAGAAGTCCCCGTCTGCGTTCATGTTTCTGATTTGTCAGTCAAGATCACAAGTTCCTAAATAACATAACTATATAAGTATTAAGTATAATTCTTTTATTCGCGAAAGTTACGCGTTATAACGTGAAAGTTGCGCGTTTATTCGGGAAAGTTTCGCGTTAAAACGCGAAAAATATTTATTTTAAATTAGCTCAATGCATGGGCTCTCTGTACACCCCCCCCCCCCCAATAAAATATAACCCCCCCCCCAAATAAAATATAACCCACAACGAATACCGCAACAATTAAATCTATATTGAATTGGTTCTCGTTCTGCATGAATACAAGTCAAGGAGACAAATAATACTGTGAAAAACACATAAAACACATAAACACATAATATGTGAAGCGTATGTATTATGACGTATTCCTTCTAAGCCTCCACAATGACAATGGCGTGACGTCACAAAGGATTTTTAAAACGTCACAATTATCACTATACACAAAGTTGTTAGGCTAAAGAAAACGGCGATCTTAAAATTTTTATGACATGTCGATGATGGATTACAAAAAAGTGTTGGAATTCAGTGACAACGGTGTAAGTTTAGTTATTTGTAATTTTTAAATATTTAAATACATATTTTATTTCATGGTCGAACAATTGTTCGTGAGTTCCATTATTTTTTAAAAAGGATTTTCCAACGTTTCGGCATGGGCATCAGTGAAGAGACATAATTTGTCGAAATGCGCATCTGGTGCATCAAAATTAGTACTGTATATGATTTACATTATGACCCCTGGGTTGAGGCCTCTGCTGGCATCGGACTATTTAGTCCCCGAGGGTCTCTACAGCCCAGTGGCCAATTACTTCGGTACTAGCTTGAAAATACGGATATATATTTAATTGCTGAGGTAAAATGTAGAAATTTATTTCAAAATTAAGAGTTATCTTCCTCAGGCATAGCTCTGATCCTTCGTATTTGGCTCCAGTCTTTGGCACCTTTTTAAGCTCTTCAAAGTTTTTAAAAAAATATATTTTGGATTTCCAACGTTTCGGCATGAGTATCACTGAAGAGACAAAATTTGTCGAAATGCGCACCTGGTGGATCAAGATTGGTACTGTATATGATTTACATTAGTAATTGTTATGTTCTATTTTAGGAAACACAACCCCGAAGGAAGCAATTTCGTTTTGTTTTTTTGGGGGGGGGGTTTCTTTGAGGGGGGGGCACAACCAAAAATTTTCAGTTTGGTGGCACTACCAGGCAAAATTCCATGACAAGCATAAAAGGGGGTCATCAGACGTTATTACTGAGGGAACACAAGCATAAAGTAGCTTTGTTTTCTATATATCGGCAAAATTATGGGGGCACACGCCCCACACCTCCGTTCCCCTGGTTCCCATGGCAATGAGACAAGTGCAGATATTGAACTGTTTGTAGAACAGGAGTGTTTTTTTTGTTTTGTTTTTTTTTTGTTTTTTGTTTTTGTTTTGTTTTGTTTTTTGTTTTTCGTTTTTTTTTGCTTTATAATTAACGTTTGTAGAACAGGAGTGTTTTTTTTTGTTTTGTTTTTTTTTTTTGTTTTTTGTTTTTGTTTTGTTTTGTTTTTTGTTTTTTGTTTTTTTTTTGCTTTATAATTAACGTTTCCTAACAGTAGGAATTGTGTCCTATTGAAGCAAGTTTGATAATTTTTGAAATATTTTAAGAGAAAGTCTGAGAAACAATCTCTTGATTTACAGAAGTAATCTTCCCCCCCCCCCCCCCCTTTGACTTGTTTCATATCACCTCATTTTACTCATTGAGTGAAATGAGGTGATATGAAACAAAAAAACTGTGAATTTTCATGGACTTGATTATAATCTTTTTTTTTTTTGATCATAATCATTTTGCTCATGTAAACACAAATGTAGTTACTTGCGCAGCAAACATTCAATTTCTTCAGTTTGCGATTTCGCAACTTTAAACAGAACAATCCTGTCCTCCCACCAATACATAGACGCGTCCAATTCGTAAAAAAATGTAACCCGATAAGGCAGGCTCTGTTTATATGCACATGCTTCATCTCATTCAACATTTCCGTTAGATTAATTCGTTGTACACGTAGATTTTTTTGAGAATAAGAGTTAAATTGTGACTGTCAGAGAATTCCAGAAGGTTACCTGTCACTGACACCGTGCGATCAGCTGTTCAGAAAGAATTTCCTCTGCTTTGCAGTTGAAGTCATGAAACTTTTAGCATCTTTGCTGGTGACCGCTTGCGTGGCAGCGTTTGCGTGTGCCGAATTGTTTTCTTCCATGGCACATCTTGAGAGTGCCTTGTTTGCAGAAAGGGACATTGCTGTTGCCATTCAAGATTACATTCATGAAGAAGAAAAAAGACTTGCAAAACTCAAAAGGTATGTGTTTACAAGAAAAGATTCTTTCATTTTTTGAAAATTGCAGTCAGAAGTCTTAATGTCTGTATATATCTAGAACTTTCGATTCCACAAACACACACACACTTATATAAGCTGAATATCATATCAGAATTATCTAAATAATAGATCCTGAAATGTTATTCTATTTCATCAAATATGAAATAGCTTCTACCCCCTTTCTCTTCTCTCTCATAGACATGATGTTTGTATTGATGTAACTTATCAGTACCTTTATACTATACGCATGATAGGTCTCTGACTTGACTGATTGTAATTTTCAGTATCAATGTAATATGCATTTGCTATATTTTTATACTTTTTACAATGAATTCAATTTTGGATCACTTTGACCACAACACTGTGTAGAGCCTTTCCTAGAAAAAAAAAGAGAGAAAATTACATTAAGCATGTGTTGACATAGATATAAATCCTGTTTTTATTACAAGTTTATATAAAAAGTTATGTATGGCTTATCCTTGACCACTGATTGAATAGGAAGTTATATACATGTAGATCAAAGAAGAAATGACACAGCTGTATTATTCATTTATTGTCAGATAACAGGAAATTATGGTCACTTATCAGTGTGGACATTCAGGCCATAGACAATTTAGGGATATACAAGTCTTATTGATAGAAGCCTTATTTGTTTCTATAAAATATTGTAATAAATTAATCATCTTTAAAGGCAATATTCATTTTGAATAGGTGATATTACCCTTTTGAATAGGTCATTTGACTTATTCAACTAGGTCATATCACTTATACAATTTGAATAGGTGATATCACTTGAGGTATAACAATTAATACAGTGATACACCAATCATATTGATTGCAATTAGGGCTCATGCTATGCATATTGTACTGTCAGGTACTGTAGAAGCACAAATTTCGTGGGGATAAAATTTCGTTGATTTGTCATCTAAAATTTTAATTTCTTTGTTTTGAATGTAACCCTATTCAATAAATAGTCATAAAAATATTTTGTGAGATTTAATTTCATTGATAATTGTTAATAATGAAATAAACAAAATTTAATCCCCAACAAATATTTCTGCTTTTACATATATATGTATTGCCATACAGTACAAGTTATTTTTCATGGACTATCTTCATAGTCTTACTTGGGAAATCTACATAATTATGATCTAACAAATTTTAACGTCCCTAAGTAGCAGGAAACAAGGTAGATCAAAAAAGAATCCAATGTAGAGACTATATGAATCCACCTGTAATTAATTTGGTAAATAATGCAGAGATACTCATTTTATATTTCTTTATTATGGAAGTAAGCAACACAGTTTAATATATGCAAAGATATCAATGTATTCAATCAGTAATCATTGTTGACAGCTGTATCATGATATTTGCTATATCACATGACCATATCATGATATTATGTATTGTATTGCTACAGGTAGCTTGCGATACTCAGGCCTAGATCACTCATCTGAGTTGGTGATTTCACCTTTTCAATGAGTTGATATCAATAAATAGCATTAATTACTAGAAGTGGTATGGTTCACCGCTGTATCGATTCATTAATTTCGTCAGTTTGATACGTACATTAAAAAATCTCTATTTTCAGTTTGGTTGGTTTTTTTTTTTCTAGGGATTGCTATTCCATCATGTTTGGTGTTCATTAAAACATGCTGAACAGCATGATGTAATTTTAAAAACATGATTCTTGGAAGAACAATAGTTGTGGAATAATCATCAAACAGTCAATTAATTCTAGTTAATTTCTTCTATATAATTTGCATTGTAAATTAAGTTACTGCTTTCAGTGAAACAAGACATAAAACAACTTTTGAATCTGTCTCCTTCAATCAAAATGTAATGTATCGAAAATAACCATACTGTGACAGAATTATATAAAACATACATAATTTGAAGAGGGCGTATTGTTACACACCTAATTAATTACAAAAAAATTACCTCATATAAAGTAAACTATTGTGTTTCTACAAATTTTACTGAAAGAGAAAATAGCAGTTAATTAACCTGTTAGTGGTTTAATTATTAGTTTATTGTATCTATCAAAATACAACTTTGTAATTCAATAATAGCTATTTTAAGTATGTTTGAAACTGTAAAAGCAAACTGTTATTTCAGTAATAATTTAAATTTGTCAATTTAAGGCCAATTCACCTCTTTCTAAATACCCGAACTATGAGAAAATGGATAAAAATGTGCATGACTAGTAGAGATAAAGGATAAATTGATGACAAGTAGTACGTGCCAAATCAACTTTCAGAAATTTAAGTTGTCCATTTGAATGTTTGAAAACATTGCCTATGCTGTCTTTGGAAAGAAAAACAAATATGAATGTCATGAAATTCTAACTGTGATTGCTTCCCTTTTTTGGAATAAGTCAATAATCGTTCATCGTCTCAAGCCACGGTCCGGAGACCGCGCGGGTATGTTAAGGAGGCATACAAATTGTTTCTCGGGAAATTTGGACTTTTTTAAGAAAATTAAGTTTGATAATTTATCAAAGTTGCCGATAAAACATAAACTAATATTAACTATTGCATAAAGACAACAGTGTGTCTGAGGCCAAGAAGTGCACCACCACAATGTCATCACGTGACTGCTATTAATAGCAAAATATTCCTTGATAAAATAGTTAACAGAACAACAATACCCCGGGGTTTGATAATTTCTTTGAGTAAATAATATAGTTGAAAAACATCTCTTATGCCTAAAAAAAGTGCTGCTAGAATCCCACTGTCCGGTCGAGAAAATAATTATTCCACATATTCGCACGGAACCTTACCCTATGTTTTGCATTTTATACATATAACCCGAGATATTTCTTCAAACCAAGTTTACCTCACGATTCTAGCAGCACTTTTTAAGTATTATAGAACGCAAGCTTTCAATATGTACAAATATTATGTTTTGAAGTATCCAGCTTAGTATTGTTCTTTTGCATTATTTTTGTCACGAATGACACAGGAAAGGCCGACCGTGATACGTAAATAGCTGACTGCCTTCAATAGAAGATATAATGGATGAAAATGAATTAGCATACCTGTTTCACAAACATTAACTTCACATGAATCACACACACTAATCACGGTATTTGCTTCAAAACCCCCTTTTACGTATCTTTTTATATACCGTCTTAGTCAAATTCTCGCTACACAACATGATCAATTCTCAAGTTACTTGTTGAACAGATATGACGTCATCGGTCAGAGTTTTTAATTCAAGTGACAGATACAGCATAACAAAATAAAAACATTTTATTTTTGTTAATATTTGCAAGGTTCTATTCATTTTCAGGAGTTAAATTATATCTCTAAATAACAATATTTAGAAAACTTGTGATCTAAAATTGATGTCATGTAGCCTACTATGACGTCATATTGTATCACTGATTAACTCAAGTCAGATTATCTTAGTGCTTCCTTAACACACCTGTGTGCATATAGCTCTCTCTTACCCATGGCTGCTTGATCACAGAAAGTGTCGTAATCCAGAATATTTATGCCTCAATGTTGTGACGTCATGTTCAACCAATGACAATATTTGTTTCCATCGCAATTGAAATCAACAACTGACATCAACAGTATACAAGAAATGTTTTGTATACTGCAATTGGGTATTGTAAGGTCGCGTCAAAGTTAATCATCTGACTATGCTTTACTTGCATTGGTCAATATTTAAATGAGCTGCGAAATATTCTCTTCTCATTCAACCACGGCAAGAATGGGAGAGGATCGTACATTTTGGCCGTGGTTTGTGACGGTGATAATTGTTGTAAGTGTCTATTTTTTGTGGGAAACAGTATTATTCATATATGCTTATATATAGTCATGTTTGTGAGTGGTAGAGACAAATATGTCATTATTGCAGCATTTAACTCTTTATTCTTCCTGTCATAAAAATATAATCCTACAGTTTACACTATAAATACATTTGAATATACAGATATTTTAAAGCTAGGATAAAGTTTGAATCTAGAATTTTTTGACTTAAGTAATAAATATAGATCAAGTAAATTGATGACCTAGCATATGATTTCAGATTAATTCAAACTATTCTAGGACGAGTAATTTTACACTATTACCCTGGGTATCAAAATTGCAGTATTTTTCATATCAGAATTGCCCAATTTTCTATCATTTCTTTTATCATACATATATACAATATATATGTTACATGTACAGGTAAAGAGAACACTTCACTTTTTGTATTTAGATGTAGAATTTATTTCATAAGAGGGAAAGGATTTTTTTGAGTGCAAAGCACAAGTAGGAAAGGATTTTTTGAGTGGATAGCACAAGTAGGAAAGGATTTTTTTGAGTGCAAAGCACAAGTAGGAAAGAATTTTTTGAGTGCATAGCACAAGAAGGAGGAGATTTTTTTGAGTGTAAAGCACAAGTTGGAAAAGATTTTTTGAGTGCAAAGCACAAGTAGGAAAGGATTTTTTTTTGAGTACAAAGCACAAGAAAGGAAGGATTTTTTTGGGTGCAAAGCACAAGTAGAAAAGGATTTTTTGAGTGAAAATATATTTTCAAAAAAATCCTAACAAGTCAATATTAAAGTACCATGTCTTATTCTGAACAAATCTTTAAATTTATATCATTTTCTTAAGTTTTCTTCTTGCTCCTTTAAGCTATCTCTTTATTAAAGTTCAAAACAATAACTTTTTATTTTCACACTGTAAAAATAACATCTTATTTTGAAAATGTGAAAAAAATAACACATGTGAAAAATAAAATCAGTTTAATTCAACTGTACAAATAAATCACCGTATTTTTCTGTTGAAAATGTAATGAATATATATATTTATATCTATATCACATTTTTGATAGTCAGTTTTAGTACATGTCCATTGTAGTACATTTACCAGTTTGTTTTAAATTCTTTATTCTTTTTTAATGTATTTGATATTGATATCATGGTTGAACGTGCTTCATTGCAATGACTAAGATTTCTTTCTCATAATAGTTGTAAATTTAACAGGCAGACAGGATATTAATTAATATGCTAAAATCAATTTCCCTTCTTGGCATTCCTTGCTGTGTAGTAAATCCATCCATCATTGTCTTGTAATTGAATGTCATTTTGCAGAAATGGATTTTCAAATTTTTCGGTCAGAAAAAATTTTGTGACAAAAAATTGGTAGGTTATTTATTAGATTAGTTTATTTTTTCCTAAGTTAAAAATTATAAATTCATGAAAATTTTCTCAAGATAGCTTTTTTTTTGTTTGAAAATCTGAACTCATTATAGATTTAACTGAACATTTTGAAGAAAAATAGTCCCATTATGAAATTGGACATGACTCAGAGAAGACAAAATCACATATTTTTGTATATAGCTAGTTTAGACTGCAGCCACCAATACCCTTTTGTGTACTTTAAATCACTTTTTATTCATGAGTACTATATTTTTGCTTAAATATGCAAGATTGTCTGCTTGCGAAAATTTCATTCTCGGGTATAATAGTATAACAACCAGAATTTGCGAAAAATTTCTATTGCTTATAAATACAATACTACACTCTCTCGAAACTAATGTGTCATGAAAATGTGATGATTTAGAGTAATACTTTTCATATGTTGAAAAAATGCGCCACTTGATAAGGAGACCAAATTTTTGATAAATAAACATGAATGACTGAGTTATTTTAGCAAGCATAATATTATGACTATTTACACAAAGCGTATAGTAAGTTATAGGCATTTCCTTTGTACTAAGTGATCTGAAGGGTTTTGAGTGATTCAAATATATGTCTCCTAAAGTTTTGAAATTTTAGGTAAAGTTGAACTACGTGAATTCATTCATGTATCGGTTATAGTTATATGAGAAGATGTTGAACCTCTTCTCTTCATTTCTTCCAAAAATGGATGATAATGTCACATTTACCATGGCTAGAGATATTCTTCATGATTGTAGTATAGCTGGCTTAGTTGCCATGTAGGGATAAATATTTAATGATAGGTACAAAATTAAAGATTACTTTGTTCCAACATGGTGACAGAATCCTTTACTAAGATAATCCCCAGTAGACACTAGCTACAAAAGAATTGTGTAGGATCCTCATAGGTTCTTTTTTTTTTCTTTTTTTTTTTTTTTTATAAAAATAAAGCTTTGAAGAAACTTTTCTTTGGTACAAAACCACACTGTCAACTCAGTGCAGTAATATTTGAGCTTGTAAACTCTTTAGTTCATTTACATTCATGTACATGTATATTAATTTTAATTACATGTACTTGTGTATGTTTACTTTTAAAAGATATCGTCTAAGTTTATAATTATACTTATCATCTGTCTAAGTTACACATAGTAGACAATGTTCAAGAAGTATTCTTGCAAAGTCAGATTTTAAAATAGATTATCAGATTGAATCAGCAGCATACAATCAATTAAATAATCAATAATTCGAACTTTCATTAAAAGTAACACGATTGTAAATCACTTTTGATTCACAAGAACTGTATTTTTGCATAATTACGCTAGACCATCCCCCATGAACATTGATGATTCTATAGTATGTCTTAAAAAACTAGTGATTTATTGCATATACTCAGGGCTACCAGAGCAATATATGACATGAATAAGATTTTTTGTAACTTGTACTGGTGGTATATTTAATATAACTCAGAAACATGAAAAATATGGTAAAACACGCTTGTAGTGAAATGCCGAAATGAGTAATTTTGATTCATGATTAATTCGTTATACATTTTAAAACCATGGGGATTGAAAATCACTTTGCTTAAAGCATGAATTCACTGTAAGTGTGTTCACTATAACCGTGCTAAAACTGTATTTATTTTCTAGAGGTTAAATAAGATTACAATACATTTTAAAACCATGGGGATTGAAAATCACTTTGCTTTAAGCATGAATTCACTATAAGCGTGTGTCACTATAACTGTGCTTTACTGTATGTATTTGCTAGAGGTACATGTACGTATATAGTTTCCAGTATTATGGTCTGTATTGCCCAAAGTAGAAGCATATAACTACAATATTGGCAATTGTTTGACATATTGTTCTTTGTAAATTGGCTTTCAGAGTTGCTGAAGATTTTGCTGAGCACAGTGAAAAGGCCTTAGCCAGTGATAAGAACCTCCTAGCCAATCCAATCAATGCTTACTTGTACATGAAGCGATTCACCTTAGACTGGGACAGAGAGGTGGCCCCCAACTTTCAGAGTGATCCTGAAAGTGGTAAATTAAAAAGTGCAATACATGATGAATAATAAAGTATTTCATTTTCAACTCATATGATCAGTTTTGGACATCCCAATATTGATGTTTAGTATAAAAGATCAAGATTTTCAGTTGAAACCACAATAATTGTTAGCTAGAAAAATGAACTTATGAAAGAAGGTGCCAAGGTACACGTAAATATTTTTTGGTCATATTAATGAAACAATTACTAAAGGTTTCAACACTTTTATCTCATCTGCAGATGTACACAAAAGAATAGAAGAGCTGAAAGGATATCTGCCCAAGTACGAGGATCTGAAAGGGGCGGTGACAGCGTTGCTACGGTTACAGGACACATACCAGCTGGACACCAACAATCTGGCCCAGGGTCGTATCCACTCTATGGTGTCTAGTTCTATGTCAGGTTAGTCCAAAGACACTCCTCAACCCATTTTCTAATTCAAGAACAAATTTTTAAAAAAGTGAAAAAAAATCATTTGTTTATTTTAAATATGAAATACTCTTTTAGCATGTAATTCTAATATCCTTGAGATGAACTCAGAGCTACAATTTACAAATATGGTACATCCATGCATTCAAAAGTATGTAGCATTTACATGTATTTTGATTAAAAGGAATGTTTATTAATAAAACTAAAAATGAAATAATTTGCTAGTATTTTTGAGAACAGACTGTGAAGTCTTTTCTATACCAGAAGAATATTGCAGGTCATTTTTATGCACTGCCAAGTTTAAATGATCTTGATAAAAAAAAGTCTTGTCTTTTAGTGCTCTCTGCTATGCATGATGGCCTCTCTAAAGAAGTTTGAATGCATATAGTATTTGTGTCAGCAAACGGACTAGAAGTTAAAAGAATTGCATGCTTTAAAACATTAATCAGTTAACCATCAGTAGGCCTATACCTTTGAAGAATGCAAATATTGCCACAGGATTTAAATTGGACCATTGGGTTCATGTCTAACAGCATTCTCAGACAATCTTTTTTTTGTTCTGAAAGGAACACACTTTTCAAATGTGTCATTTGTTGTCACATTCATCAGCAATATCACCTTCAGATAAAAAGTTGAAAGGAAAATTTTGTCGGTACATTGTAATTACGTATTTTGCTACAGGTTTTTCAAAGGGAAAAAAGTTTTAGTTTTAAAAGTCCAAATAAATGTGGAGAACAAACCTACAGTTGATTGTTTTCAGAAATGCCAATTTAAAGAGAGCCTTTCATCAGTTACTTACACATGTAAAGTACAATCGAGGTGTAGATAAAATCTGCAACTTATTTTTGGCTAAAGAATTTTCAATATGACACAAAATTTTGTTCCCATCCCCCTCCCCCATATCGTAGATGTTATAACATAATTGCAAAACGATAACTTCTGACATAGTGTTCTTGCAATGAGACTAACCACATTACTGTCATTTATAATAGCTATGATCTGTTTGGAATTTGCATGCTGCATGTTAATGATGTCATTTCAGCCTCAGATTGCTTTGAAATTGGAAAGCTGACCTATAATGATGAAGATTTTTATCATACAACCATGTGGATGGAAAAAGCCCTCGCTCTGGTGGCCATAGAGAAAAATCGCACTGTTCAACGGGTTGATATCCTGGACTACTTAGCTTTTTCTCTTTATAAAGTAAGTATGGACTCCTTGGGTTTAGTGTTTTAGGCTTTCTGATGTAAAATATAACCACTCATTCAGAATGGAATCTTGTAGTATGTTTTCCTGTTACCTAGGAAACAATAAAGTTATCGTTAAGTAATTGAGAGAAAAGTATTGAATGAGACAATTTCAGTTGTACCAGATACCAACTTTAGGGCACTTGGAATCAGCTGTGACTTAGTAAACTTGAGTTGCCTTTCTTTGTCCAAAATGAAGTGTGACGTATCTAGAGTTCCCCCTCCCCCCCCCCCCCCCCCCTTTCGCCCGAATAAAAAATAAAGAGAAAAAAATCCTAGCTTCTGCGTCAGTTAGTAGATATAAACTTTTCAATTTTCTCTGTTATGAGAGCAGACATTTTTATTATTATACCCCTCACTTTAATGGCAGGGGGTGTATAGTGATGGGGGTGTCCATCCATCCATCTGTCCATTATTCTTTGGGGTACCCATCTCTTATCCGCAACTCCTCTTATACCACTGAATAAAATTTAATGAGACTTTCACAGAATCTTTGTCACATAGTGCCATTGTGACCTCCTATTTTACTTTTTGATTGGACACATATTTCAGGTTTCCAATAGTAAAACATAGACACTGCCATTCTTTCTATAATATTGAGGGGTACCCATCTCATATCGGCAATTCCTCCTATACCACTGAATAAAATTTAATTATACTTTCACAGAATCTTTATTACATAGTGCCATTATGCACCTCCTATTTTACTTTTTGATCGGACACTTATTTCAGGTCTCCCATAGCAAAACGTGGACTTTGCCAATTTTAATCATATGGGAGGTGGGGGGGGGGGGGGTATCATTTTGTGAGCTCAGTGCTCACAGTACCTCTAGTTTATTATCAAAATCTATTGTAATAAATTCACAACTTTATGAGAAATCATGCAGACAGACAGACAAACATATGAAAGCATAATCTCTTTCCAGCTCAGTTGCTAAGGTAAAAATCTTGGTAAATCACAAGGAGAGATTCTCAGAATATGTCACTTATGTAAAGAAACATAGGAAAAAATAGGCTTTATAAAATATTTATCAGTTACACATCATTTCTGAACATCCAGCATCCATTTCTCTGGCTTCTGGATTTGAAAGACAACATCATAGCTTTTAGTATGTCATGTCACAAAAAGCATTTCTTTGTTGTTGCACAGTTCAAGGCCAGGCATGGATCTACAGCCACAAATTAAAAATGCATGTTTGTTCTGCATGGTTTTCTGTAATCTTCTTTGTTTTGAAGTCTGTGTTCTGTCTTTTCTCATCAGGATCCAACTCTCAGTCCCTGTCTGGAATATTTGATCTAACAATTGGTGAATTTATGCCACTTATTCTTGTACCACCATATTCTATACAAAAAAAATGCATTGAGTGCATTTAGCTATGGCCTTGATTTGCTAATGATAGATTTGCATGGCAAACTGAAAAATGGCAAGGTTGCCCTAACAGCAAACTGATCAACCAAGCATGAGGAATAACAATCCAAAAATCCAGGCTTTTTTTACCATGACTGTCTCAAAACTAGTGAACCAGTCACTCTGCTTACAGCCAATGACTGCTTTGAGATTGGACGACAAGCTTATCAGAATGAAGACTTCTATCACACTGCCCTCTGGATGAAGGCATCTTTGGACAAAGAGGAGGAGGAGAAAAATAAGACTGTACCGAGGAGCTTGGTGCTCGACTATTTGTCGTATGCTGCTTTAATGGTATGGTGTAGCCTAATGATATGAGGGGAATTTGTAAATCCTTTGTCAAATCCCGATACTGTGACTGGTGTATACTAAGGGCAAAAACAAGCGTTACTGTGTATAAGGACACTGTGCTTAAGTCAGATTAAAACCAGGCTGCTCAAAGTCTTCTGGAGATCAGCAGAAGAAACCTAACATAATCCATCTCAGAGTCTCTCTGTATTTCATTTATTAAAATGAATGATTTCAACAAACCGTGTTGCCATGATTACTAAAAATAGAAATTTCTGTGAAATTCTTTCAAAATGCCACTCTTCCTACTGTTTTGGTCCAATTTCAATATATGACTTAGTATACAAGTAGGGTACTCCAAGGTACATATTTCTGTTTATTGGGAGCACTGTTGCAATGGCACCTGATCCCACCTCTGATGTTTTTTAGAGGTCCGTGTTTGCTCTGCTCCTGATTTGTATTGTTTCAATGGACTTCTGAGCTTGATTACTGTCCATTATCTTCATATTTCATTACTAAAAATAGGGTAATGATGGAATTTGTTGAAAATGTTACTCTTCCATTGTTTTTGGTCTGAATTTAATAAAATTTGGTACAAAGTAAGTTAAATCAAGCATCAATTCTTATTTATTGTTGTAGCCATGCTTCTAAGTTTCAAGCCCAGGTGCTGCTTTATTGTTTCTTATTATAAGTACAAACCAATAAAGCTACAGTCTCATCAGAGACTTGGGGTTTTTAGGGTTACATACCTTATCATACCCTTGTGTGGGTTTACCTTTCTTTCTTTCCAAGATCTGTGTCACAGTTGTAATCAAAAGTTGTAGAACTTTGTTATGTATAAATTAAATATATAGATATTTCCAACAAATTGTGAAGGCATAAGGTATAAATTTATTTAAATTTAGGCTTTAGACATAGCCATTGCTGCATATTAGTTCTCTCATAATGATAATTTTTCATTTTTAAATGTCCCCCTTTCAGCAAGGTGATATAGAGAGGGCTCTGGTGTTGACCAATGAACTTCTGACACTGTGTAAGTATCAGTCTATTAATTTAGATACATGTGATATAATTTTTTAAAAAATGGAATTAATAGCCAATATCATACAAGCTATTTCATTTTCAGTAGTGGCTATAAGCATTTTCATTTCGGATCGGTATATACATGTAACATCTTTACTAGAAATTTGGTATTTTTATGTGCATATTCATATACTACTGTTGTAAGTTGTATACATGTTGTAATGAATCAAAATTGCTTGCTGGTAGTTTGTTCTTGCCATTTTGTAGTACCTCATCATACAAGAGCACAGAATAATCGCAGATATTACGAAAAGTTATTGGAGGAACAGCAGAGAAAACGACGAGGAGATGATGGAGGGGCTCAGGAAACAGATGAACCCAACGAATACACAGTACGACCCCTGGACGAATATCGAAAAGGCGAGGAGTTTCAGACATATGAGAGCCTTTGCAGGGGAGAAGACACACATGTAATGTCATATAGTTTTGAAGAAATGATAATTCTTTTTTAGTTCACAGTGTTCAGAATAAAAATGGAATTAAAGTTGTTGTAATGAAGTGTAGGGGTAAAAATACTCAAGTATATTATGTACATGTAATATATTGAAGGAGAACTGAATGCTAATTGATATATTTATGAATTTAAATTCATTACAAAAGCACCTGTATTTGAAAAAATGTATAAAAGCACTTTGAAAATAAGATATTGAAATGTTTAAATTAATTGTCTTCAAAAAAAATATTCTTGACTTTTTGAATTAATTGTAGAAATTTGTATGCTCTTTTGATGCTAATTTTTTGCAAAATTGACTGCATTTCTATGACTATTCTATCCTGTGAATTTTTTCAGTCATATCATACAGAGATTACAAGATATCTGAATTATTTATACACTGTGATTGCAGTGAATTTTATATAGATTTTTAGATGAATGCATGATATCACACATTTAAACAAACAGTTGATTTTTATTTTTTTCAGGATTATAAACTGAAGCACAAATTGAAGTGTCGATACGTAAACAAGAACAACCCCCTCCTGCTCTTACAGCCGGCTAAGGAGGAAGACATATACCTGGATCCCTGGATTGTTGTCTACCATGACGTGGTGTCAGATTATGAAATCGAGACTATAAAAAAACTGGCCACTCCAAGAGTAAGTTGAACAAGCTGTCATGAAAGAAAATTTGCTTTATTGTTTGGAGATTTTCAAAATGAATACTTTGTACTGTCAGAAATGATTTAGGCATTTTATTTATTTTCACTCATTTTTGCCCTCCTCCTCTTCCTCAATAAGTCAAAAATGGAACTTGAAATCAAATAAAGTGTATGTAATTCATTAGCTGTAACATTTTTTTTGAAAATTAGATGAAATATGGACTGCTTAATTTTGTTTACAAAAGTCATTTTCAATACAATATGAAAAGTGTTATATACCTGAAACTCTCTTGTGGTAGTTAGAAAGAGCAGGTGTATTTGGGGCAGCATCAACAAATTATCGAATTTGCAAAAGGTAAGGTGTCTGACAAACAGAGAGTACCCTATCTGTTGTATTCAAGTACATGACTCGTTGAACTATCAACTGCACAATGTTTCCCAAAATGTCTCCAACTGAATTGAAATAGAAGATTGATTTCCCATCAAGCATTTTTTGAAAGTACACTCTGCACAGTTGCGTAGTTATTTTGGTATAAAAGTAAAATTTGGCATATTTATGGTTCATCAAATTTCTGTCACAATTTAGCATTAGATGATTTTATTTGCTTTTTATGGTGCTATAAATTACATGAGTTGTGGATGTATAATTAGATAATGCACATGATCACAAAATGAAAATTTGTATGCACACCTGTAGTGATTCATAGAACCATAAAAGGCAAAAAATACTGAGTAATCACTTCCTACTTATATTTACATTATATTTACACTATATCTGACATGTCTGACAAGTATAAATTGTTAATTTTTGTTAGGTTTTGGTTATTACTACCGGCACCTAGCCCATACATCACACAGAGGCATCAGCTGTTTATTGGTTTTAAACAGGTTGTGCAAGAGCTGTTTGATTTATTTAAGGATCATTGTCTATTTTCTGCATAAACCAACATAGGAGCACACAATAATTAATATTTGTGAGGAAGCTGCTAAGGAGGATCTTGTACTCCAATAGCAGTGTCAACCCACCCCCCCCCAAAAAAATATTCATAACCTATAATGCCTTGATATAAGGAATGTCTTCTAGTCACATTATAATCATTTCAACCTTTGGTACATTTGTATTAAGAAAAGTTTGGAAAGAAAGTTGTGAATGGATATTTACTGTCTGTTTCAATTTTTAAAGTTGGAGACATTTTGATTTGAAGCAGTTCTTATTTTACAATCTCTTATCCCTGAAAAATGTCATTATATACATGTACACTTTTTACATTTCCTACTTGGTGCTTGTTCATAGAGAAAATGTCACACTGTACCAAGAAAAATCATATTGTATATCATTTTTTTTGTAGTCTGTTGTCATTAGCTTTCTTTAGAGAGTGTCTAATTTGCTAAAAAGAAAAAAAATCTTTAATGAAGCCCATGTGTTTTTTTGTCATGCCATGTCTAAATTTCCATCAGATGTTATAGATTACAGTGTCACATTTTCACACTACTAGGAAGAACTTATGTATGACAACAGTTAATTTTCTTTGTGTATTTTTTTCTACAATCTATTCTTTTTCAAATCTAGTTAGGTAGGGCTACTGTCCATAATGCAAGAACTGGTAAACTAGAAACAGCTGAATACAGAGTTAGTAAAAGGTACGGTAACTTGTGTGTGTTTGTTTACATGTCATTTGTTCTTGTCTGTTAAAGTGTGACTCGGGAATAAGTGCAGAATGATATCATTGTGCAATAAAGCAGGGATAAAATGCATTTCTTTGGACAATTACTTGCTTTATCTAGGCATAATGATCCATTATTTCTAGATACTTCCTGTCAAATGAGCTACTCTTTGTATGCAAAAAAAATATAACACTGTAGTATCTTTGAATGAGGGATTGTTTGTTTGTTTATTTGTTTATTTTATGCCCCCTAAGTGGAGATTTGGGGTCTAGAGTTTTTGATCTGTCTATCTGTCTGTTTATTGAAAATTTTTAAAGGACTATTGAAAAACTTTAACCTTAATGCTTGGTGCTTATTTATTTCACATGTGTATTCCTTGTGGCAAGACCTTTCTTTGGGTACCAACATATTTGATCTTGACCTTTGAGTAAAACCTACATTGTACTTTTGACAGATTTTAATCTTGGCCATAACTTCTGAACTCTTGGGTCTAAGGCCTTCATATTCCTTGTGACAAGGCCTTTCTTTGCTTACCAATTTTTTTGATTTCATGACCTTGACCTTGGTGTTTGACCTACTTTTGGAAAAAAAATTATCTTTAGTCTTAACTTCTGAACGGTTGGTGCTAGGGCTTTTATATTTCATGTAAGTATATCTTGTGACAAGACCTTTCTTTGAATACCAACATTTTTTAACTCATGACCATGGCTTTGGGGGTTGACCTACTTTTGAAAGACTTTAACTGTGGCCATGAACTGCCATGGGGGAGGGGGGGGGGGATTGGTGTTTTACAAACAAACATTAGTTTTTGTTGTTGTTGTTGTTTTTTTGTTTTGTTGTTGTTGGGTTTTTTTTTTAAAGTAAAATTAAGAGCCAGTCTGTTCTTCAGTAAATTCTTGTTGTATTTTGTATCCATATTTATCTTCACAATATAGTTTCAATCATTTTGTAAAATTGGCATAAAGTTCATTGTACATGCATGCAAAATATATTAATACTAAGTATATACATAGTAATCAAACTTAATGTTATGACTTTGTTAAACTCAATTGTTATAATTCAAATTTCTTTTCAAGAAAATATTTTTAAACTTCTTGGAAAGCTCAGATGAAATTTGAAAAATTCCTTGGAATGCAATTTGTTGCTCTTGAGTACCAAAGTTTTTTATGACCTCGCATGAAAATGCAGGAGCCGTATAGAAATCACTTTGTCTTTCTGCTTATCTATTGTCAGTCAACACTTTTTTATGCAAGTACTCAAACAGTTTTCAATGAAATTTTTTTCAGATGTTATACATAAGCACTTTACTATAAAATCAAGACACTTAAAGATTTTAGGGTCATATCATGTTGTCTGTCTGTATGTATGTATGTATGTTTGAATGTACATGTTTATCTTTGACTCTTTTGTTGTAACACGATAACTCAGTTTTTTACATTGTACTAAGAACTTTTGACAGCCCTTAGTGGGGCCCTCTCTGACCGTGTCAGTTAATTTGTGTGTTTTCCATTTGACTGAAAAAGAAAGCATTTATGAAGTGACATTTTTTAGCCACCAGTATTGATGTAATCACATTGATTTCAGTGCATGGTTAAAAGATGACGATGACCCAGTTATACATAATGTCAACAATAGGATAGCAGCCATTACAGGCCTGAGTATGAAAACTGCTGAAGATTTACAGGTGAGCTATAGGTGATTTGGGCATGTGATTTCTATTTGTCATGACTTCTATATTTTAGATGAGATTACAGAGGATAATGTAGGTGTTTTTATATACACTTATTCAAAATTTAGCTCAAATGTACAGGTAGGTCATCACAAATTTGGCACAGAGAATATTAAATTAAAATGCAGAATTATTTATAGTGAAAGTGAATTAGAACACAAGATAGTAGCACTTTAGTACCTAAATATTATTAGATTCACAAAGATGCTTAGTCCAACTTGTGAAATCTGAAGGGGGAGGGAGGTTTTTACATTGCATTGAGAAGTTCTCAATAAAGTTCTGAGCAAGGAACCATGTGAAGGGTAAAAGTGGAGATTTGGAATGTAGATCAGACTTAGAAAACCTTGGATCACAAGCATGTAGGCATTCTGCAAGTCGCCTTCCTTCGGAAAAAAAGTAATTGTTAATCTTCAGGATATCAAGATTGAATATATTTCAATTTAAATCTAAAATAAATCTTTTATTTGTGTAATTACAGATAGCTAATTATGGACTTGGAGGGCAATATGAACCACATTTTGATTTTGCAAGGGTAAGTGTTTTTCAAATCTCACTTTTAATTATAAACTTGAAAATCAGAGGAATCTGTAAATTCTATCAAAGGTTCCAAAGAATGCTCAAGAGAGATATGTTTACAAGCGGTTTACAATTTAAGTGGAAATAGTAAAACATAAAATTGTAAAATATTCCAGTAATTACTTTCAGCGGAGACAAATGTTCGGAATTAAAAAAAGAAACAGAATGAAAAGAATTAAAGGGCTGCACAAAAAAAATTAACAGAACCTTTGTGTATAGTCAAAGTGATTCTGAAACTTGGAAATACCTTGTGTCCCTCATAGTAATACTGTCTACAGAGTTATTTTTGCCCCGTGTTATTTTCACCCTTTCACACTTGCAAACAATTTTGGCCCATTTTTAATTTGCCCAGTCAGAGTTCTGTTTAAGAAATTTTACTGTGTTCTTTGAATTCCCCCCGTGTTAAATTTGCCCACCTGAGATTAGGGCGAAAGGGGCAAAAATAAAACAGGGGTAAAAATTTCCCTGCATACAATATGTCCACACTTGAGATCATTTGATAAGTAAGTGACCACAACTTTTTGAAAGCACTTCTGAAGATTTGTTACTAAATATAGTTCACTTCACTTGAACGTGCCCTCATTGTACACCTGTATTAGAATTACAGCGAGAATCAACAGAAATTGTAATACAACACGTAGTACATAAAGCTTATTCTCTGTGCAGTGTGGCTGGTTTAAAGTGTGTTGAACTTCTTTGTTCAAGTATGTTTTATATTTGTTAGAATATGCCAAGGTGTTTCGTTATCCATGAAATGCTTTTGCTCTTTAAAAATCTGTTCCAAAGTGTTACTGTTTTAACTTTCTTCCAAAAAAAATCAAATTAACAAAGGGACAAGGAAAAATGAAGTGATTTCTTTTGCATGATAGTAGATTCTTTTAGTATTGTATTAACTCACATTACAGCGGACAGACCAGTCAGAATTTTACATTCAAAGTGGCAACCGAATTGCAACTTTTCTTATCTATGTAAGTTTATGATAGTCAATGTTTACGTTGCTTTCTATTTCTAACATTTAAATTTGAAAAGGAACTGAAATTTGAAGTTGGAAAATAATAATTCAGTCTTGGGAAAAAGCAATTCTGATAAACATATAAAAAGGAGAAAAATCTTTATAGTACATGTATCATAATTATCATAATTTCTAGATGAGACTGATATTTTGTGGCAAGTAAATTTTTTAAAGTTTGGATGCATATTATCCAAAATATCTACCAACCTAGTCCTTGTTGCACCCAGAGGCACGTAGGGCAAGTACTAGGGATTTCAATTATCTCCTGTTATTATCCAAAATAAGCCATCAATATTTCAGTTCTTTTTCATTCTGATACAGATGCATAAAATGTCCAGACTGCTCAGCCTTGGAGAACACAGCATTGCATGCGCAGCAGCAAATACTAGGGTTAGGCATAGGGTCTGTTTGGCTTTTTAAAATTTCAAATCAAGCTTTTTTTTAACCCAAGTCCCTGCTGGTCTGTAGGTTTGCATACTAACTCAGTGGTAACCTTGTTATGAGTTTTTTGTATGATTTGGTAATATTTGTGTTCAGAAAGAAGAAACCAATGCTTTCCGTGACCTAGGATCTGGTAACAGAATAGCCACTTGGCTAACATATGTAAGTAATTCAAGATTTAATAAAATTCAGCTACCAGTAATTAATGCAGTATGGAATAGAGCTTAATAGGTGGCTTTTCAGATACGTATTTTTGAAGGTTTCTACTTATCTTGGGTCTTTATTATGTTAAAGGTATCCAACAACTATTTTCAGTGATTTTACAAGTTAAATTATCTGATAAGTATACATGTAGTGTCCCGTTTTATAAACCTACCTCAAATACCTCTAAAGAAACAAAACATTACAACAAATTAATTAGCTACTCCAAGAAAGAAAAAGATTTTTTGCTACATATTTTTAGGTACCCGGTATGCCCCCACAATGAAATGGTCTGAGTTTTGTTTTGTTTTGGTTTGTTTTGATGTACAGTAAAACATGTCATAGCAAACATGGTTATAATGAATTTACACTTACAGCAAAGTGATTTTCATTCCCCATAGTTTCTAAATGCATTATAATCTCATCCAATTGGTTATAATGAATTATGTTTAAATTGTTGGTCCTTTGCACTTGGCTATAAGCATGTTTTACAGTATGTCACTGAAAAAATGGGGGTAGAAAAATTTAAACACTTGGTTCTTTGAGCTGAAAATCTTTGAGAGTCTTGCACAGGTGATAAGGTAGCATTGGGATACAGCTGCACTGTAACTTGAAACTCCAGGTGCTGGGTTAATGTATCATTTTCAATTTCTTGTCCATATTTCTCTTAAAATGTATCTCAAAATTTATGGCACAACATATGTAAATGCCTTCTTGATATTATACAAAGCATTATCACTTTATCTCCTTTTATGAAATTTGTACCTCAATATGTAATATTTTTTTATGTATATATATTGGCTAGTAGAGGACCAGAAGAACATATGCTCATGAAATATCCATGTTGTTCATATTATCTGAAATAAATGCCATGGTACATGACAGGGAGGGTGGGGAAAAAAATTAAAATTGCTATATCCTTGGTTATGTAAACATGTATTAACTATAGAAAAAAATATGTAGATATGTCCATGTCCAATTTGCAGACAGATAATTTGAGCATGCAGTATTCTAATGAAATAATGATATATATATACATGTATGTATTATACTGCACTTTATTGGAAATATGAGGAATATAGTATGACATTATGCTGTCTGCACATTTTCTAAATGAAGATGCTTTGAGAAAAGTCTGAATGTGAGATTTTGAAATGATTAATGATAATATCAGAGATTTCAGAGAATAATTTTGTCAAGTACCTGTGTTAAGAAAGAAATAACTTTAAATTGGTCAGTAAAAATTGTGGAATTTCTTTCTGCTTCTGTTGTGATTTTTGACATGTAGTACATGTACTGATTAAACGTAAACTCTTTCTGTCCAGATGAGTGATGTAGATGCTGGAGGAGCCACAGTTTTTCCATACATTGGGGTCAAGTTATTCCCTAAAAAGGTAATATTTTTATTTTTATTCCATGCACATGTATCTACATAAGGGGAGGGGGTTTAATTTTTGCATGTTTTTGGTGAATTTTACAAATCATACACTCCAGAAGTATTGTTATGATACCACATAAAATGAAATGTAATTTTTTTTTCACAAATTACATGTATCAGGTATCCTTTTGTTTTATAAATAGTTCAAGCTGTGCTTAAATTTATTTTTCAGTATCTGACTAAGGGAATCTTTTTTTGATATTCTGTAATTTTTAAAAAATGAGTTTTTAAGTAAACATATTTATAATTCAAATGACTTTTAACAGGGAGCTGCAGCATTCTGGTACAATTTGTACCGAAATGGAGATGGAATTTATGACACACGGCATGCAGCTTGTCCAGTCTTGGTCGGTCAAAAGTGGGTCTCAAATAAATGGATTCATGAACGAAGTCAAGAGTTTAAAAGACCCTGTAGTCTCAACATGGATGAATAGCTTTGTTTAGCTTATCACAAAACGGTTTCAAAGAACCATGGCTTTCAGAGACATTGTATTTTTAGTGAGTACATCTTCAATCAATGTTTTGGTCTTCCATGCTCCTAATACATGTATAATGGAGTTTTCCGTAAATGTGCCATGTGAACAACTGACAATCATCTGCAATGCTGAAGTGATGACTACACAAAACTGCTCTTCTGCAGAGAATTCAATTTGGCTGTTAAAATTTCCTGAAAAAAAAAAACAAAAAAATTAAATTGACTGCATAGTTACTTCACTGAATAAATGAATATACGCACATCACCATTATGCAGATAGTGTTAAATTCTTGCCCAATCTACAGTTCTTGTGTAAATTGCTTTTATTCTGTGATACAATTGTGTTTGGTTAAGATGTTGAGAGGGGATGTCTCAGAAGTGTTTATTTTCATGTGATGAGAGAAAAGTATGCATGAAATGTGAAAAAGTGAATGAAAGTTCAGGTAAAATGCTTGTGGTATGAATAAATATAATGTGTGATATGAGAGTCATGTAATAGTTGCATTATAAAAAAAAAAAAACACAATGATCACTTATAATTACTGCCCCATATATTTTTCCACCAATTGTGAGTTTTTGAGGGGTTTTTTTTTGGGGGGAGGGGGGGGAGGGAGGGAATTTCTGTGGGGTTTATAGAAAAAAAAAAAATTTCTGGAGATGACCTTATTATGTCGGTGTATTTATCCATTTTAAATGAGCTGGAAATATGATATACATATATTTACAATTTTGAAATCCATTTTTGACAATGTACCAGTGCTGTAATTGATTACGGTAGCTTTTTGCAAAAGTACATTTTTGCTAGATTTTACATGCCATTTCAATCATACATGTATATGCATAATATTTATAAAGTAGGTGTTTCAATCTCTGCTGACTGGATTGTACCTCAAAAATTGTTTTACATTGTAATGTCATTTTATAAGCACGAGCTGATAAATGATATAAGCACGAGCTCTATCAATTGTGTATGATTTAAGAATTTTGCTGCTTTAAGTACTGTATCATGGTATCGGTGCATTTCACTGCTTTCAGTTAATTACAGAATCTTGATATTTTTTTATGCTGGGGGTACATGATCTCGATGCTTCCTTTTTATTATATATTTTTGGTCAGTGACCATTGTATTGGGTATATTTGTGAAAAACTTTCTCCACAAACAGTTTTCACTTGTTTATCCAAATTAAATGTCTGATTCACATCCATTTAAATTTTTTCCTTTCAACCTGATTGGAAGAATTATGTGGATTCAATAAAAGTAAAAAAAAAAAAATGTGTTGGTTCTTATCAAGGCTTACTTTGAAGCAAGTCATGAAGATCAGTATTCAAACATATACACAAGTAGCAGTGACGGTTCAATAGATTTCAGTAGTTCAGTACTGTAATTAATGGAACTAAGATGTCAAACACAGCAAGTCCGAGACATTTTCAATGAATTTAGTATGCAACAGTCTACATCAACTTTCCAGTACATGTATTATAAGACAATATACACTCAGTTATTGGCCAAAAACAATCTACAGTGGAGCTTTAAGCCCAATTTGCCCCCATGTAATGCACGGTCAACAGATATCAACTCTGATAGTTGGATGAATAAAGACATCTGCTGAAAGAAAATTTTGTCCATCCCATGACAAACCTGCTCTATATTCAGAGGTGGATAAATCTGCAGTCTTTATTCAAATAATATAAGCCAGAATATACATCACTCAAAATGGGCCGACAGGTGAAATTGGGAAACTTTTGTTTTACTGACAACTCTATCATTTCTACCATTTATAACAAGAAAATTGACAGTGAACTGTTTGTAAAATTAACTCATACTTTTCCTGTTGCTTGAATTTAATTTTGAAGCAAAATCATGTGTCTATTTCAGGAATCATTAAATTCAATACAATTTGAAGAAGAAAGATCATTGTTAATGATTTATTTTCTGAAATAAATCATAAAATATGTAGTCTGAACAACAACGAAAACAAGAAATACAAATTTTATAATGACAGACAATACACAGCAGTTCACACTAGTTTCACTACACTGACTGCAAAAAAAGATGTATCTGTACTTCTGAACATGAACTGAAATACTAATTCATTTTGATTTAAATAATATGATGACACAAATATAAGAACAACTATGATTGAAATTTCAGAGGAAAATGAGTACTCTCAAAGATTTCATGACAAATTATGTTAATGCTCTAATTTTTATGTAAGGGAATATTTTTAATTGATATTTAGGACATAAATCATTGATAAAATGCATGTACACATAAATGCCAACATCTAATATACATGTACAACCTTTAACATGAAATACTTTTGAGATTAACAATATTTTTTAAAATAATGAACTGAAATGCTATAATATCAAACATTTGGTAACATTAAGTGAACACAATGCTAAATGCACATTGCACAAACTTGCTGGAATGTAGGAAAATACATACATGTATTATACACAGATTTTTCTTAATAGTTAATGTACATGTACATGTATCAATTTATATCCTATCACAAAAAGTTTAAAAGAATACAATACATATTACTTTTATCTTGTGAACACTAACATCATTTTAAAGATATTGTGTAGTCTTGGAATAGGGAAAGAAGTTACATATAATACCCCAAAAGGAAGATGAAATCTAATGGGAATACATGTTGTATGCAAATAATACATTTAAAGAGATTCTTACTTTAATATCTACATTTACATGTTTTTTAAAGTATTGGAAGATACACTGACTAAGGAAAAGAAATCAATAAAATGAAAGAAATGTGCCCAACGTTAAAGTCACAATCAGGTTGGTAAATAATAACAAAGAAATATATCACAGATCAACAAAATGTAAAATATCAAAACACTTCAGTAAAAAAAAGGTATTATAATGCTAAAATAATACATTGTGTCTGTATTTAGGTATGAGAAAATGCATTATTTCAGTTGAAAAACCTTCCAAATATATTCAAATAAATGTTTGATTTCAGTTTATGAGAACCTGGATACTTTTTGTAGAAATATATTTATTTCAAGAAATTAATGTTTTAATTCACACAAGTTATTTGAAAAGAAAAGCTCTCATGACAAAATAAAGTATCTGTTAAGAAAAGTTGGTTTATGGTTAATTTAGGAGTTATATAGGACCATTTTTAAGACTATTTAAACCTCTAGGAAAAGAAGAGCTCTATACCGGTATATATAAAAAAAGAAGAAGCAAATTGCATTAATTTTTTTTCTTCACTAAATAATAGTTTGTGGCTTAAAAATCCTATTCCCTATGTTAAGGTGGATCTGTGGGTAATTTTTTTAACCACCCAACCTCCTTATAGACACTTTATAATCACACACTTTAATCTTTTTACATTCGATTCCAACTTACCGGTACTTAATTACTTTGGAAGAAGAAACAATCAAACAAATACAAAAGGACAAACAAATAAAAAAAAAAACCTTAATACAAATGAGATGGGTGAACAAGGCGTACAGGATGCCTTCAGCTTCGGATATGTAAAAATCATACTCAGTTAGTGAATTTAGTATCTAGAGTAAAGTTCTCATTATTGATATTTATGAAATTATGATAAACAAAAGTTTTCTGAGGTAAATTTTCTCGGCAAAAATTATTCTGTTATTAAAAATTAATGTGGTATTTGTGGGGTTCGAACCCTGGCAATAAAAATCCTGAGTATTATTTTCTTTTGAAACTAACATGCTAACCACTACATTACACAAGTCCCTGATGAATAGTGGCATTTAAATCATGTTTGTGATATGACCCTTGACTAAATGGACTTCGATTATTTCTCAGAAAGATGCGAATGTTGTGTCATAAAAGAATATTTTTAGATATAATGGGTCTTTGCTCCATGTTTCTGTTAAACAAAAATGTTTATTTTTACGCAAACTTAAGGATTAACTTTAAAAAAAAATGGCACAAAGACCCACTCATATTAAAAAACTGTGTTATAGTATGAGAAAATGATCCTTTTTACATATACTCTAGTGTGTGTATGCATTTCATAGGCAAATAGTTTCATTCTTTGAGATTTTTGCAAATTGTGGAGATTTTACATAAAGTATACTTTAATGTTAAGTGAAATATCAAGGAAAATTTTGTATGATTGAGATTTAATTTTTCACCTGCATGTTTGTTGCACTATAGGCATTTCGCTTGCTTTGTTCGCCCATCTTCTTTAGAATTCCACAGAAAATAAATGCAAAAAATAAACGCACAAATGTCTTTTAAAGAGAATAATATCCCATAACAACCATTATTGAAATGCTTACTGAAACTATACTGAACATGTACTAATGTCTAGTTTACTCCTGTTACATAAAGCTCCCCAAATCCTATCATTCTTTGCTACTCTACTAAAACATAACATCTAATAAGTATAGCATTCTAACTTGTAGTTCAACACTACAACTATCTGTCATACTACCATCAGTACCATGGTATTAATATCTGAATTTATTACATGTAGGATGAAGTGACTTTACTGCATGTATTATTATCTATAATGCCAGGAAAAAATGATTAATTCTTGATCTGAAAGCACCAATAATTTCAAATCCCTAAGTTCTGAAAAAAAAATAATATTTAGACTAACAACTACATCAAAACATGATCACAATGTACAATATCCGCAGAAAGATATTTACATGATTAAAATGTGGTAAAGGTACATGTATATTGCACTATTGTATACCCAAATCAAGATAAACAATTCTTGTAAACATTTGCATTAAAGAGTTATAATATGACACATCTAAGAACAAAAATAAAACTTAATGAAGCATACAGTTTGTAACCATGATAATTATAATTATTGCACCAATGCTGAAAAAATCAATGAACATTGATGTATTTAAGCAATAGGTTTCAGAGATTCAATGCAAATTCTGGGTAAATAGAAAAAAAAACAAATAGTGCAAATTAAATGACAAATGAAGGGGCATATGAATGACCCTAGAGTCAGTCTGCTTTACAACAAATTTTAAATATTTCTATCCCAAGTATCGTTTGTTGATTCAGAAATACAGGTAAGTAATATCTTTCTTTAAAAAACACCCAGGTGTGATATTGTATAGCCAAATGGGTTGAAAGAGTCACCAAATTAAGCAAACTGATTTTCTGGATTCAGATGAAATGCCATGGAATAGTTTTTTTGTTTTTTTTAAATCAGTTCATCGTGTGGACAGGTGATCCTGGGTTGCTGTTGTAGGGACATATGTCATCTTTGTGATTGCCCACACACTCCACAATGGGCACATGTCCACTGTCCCACATTCCAGGCCCACACAGTGAGCATAAACCATGCAATGTGCAAGGGATTCTGGGTAATTTTCGATAGTGATGCAGGAGTCCTCTAGCCTTGAAAGTATTATTAAATTGCATATCAATATAAAAACTTTATTTTCCAAACATTCAAACAAAATTCTTAAATATTAAAATAAAACTACTGTAAACATTAAGGGTTTTGTATTAAAGGCTTAAATGTGCAAAGCTTAAAGCCTACTGTCTGATCAATTTAAAATTCTTGAGAGTTTTTTTAAAATGTGATAAATATTTTTACTTATATAAACAGAGGAAAGGAATATTCCTTGCTACCTTTCTGAGAACAAGCTGACCATTCATATGCATGGCAAGACTGCTGAAGTGGAGGAGAATTTCATCTGAGGGGAGGCCCTGGTCTATGACATCATCACCATAGATACAAACAATAGCCACACATATAAAGAGGTGGAAATAGTCCGTCTGATAATGAGACCAGCAGGACTCCCAGATCTTCAGGGCATCCGTCTCAGGGAATTCCCTCTTGAAGCACAACAATATCCACCTACATTACATAGATGACACAATACAGGTCTAAAGGATGACAAAAATATATACAAAGGGTACATCTGAAAGATGTCAGAAACACTGAAAAATAAATTTAAAAAAAACATGACTTCATGTTAAAATTATTGGCTTTTACCTGTGGCAAAATAATAATTCCATCGCGTCCTCACCCAGACGTTGCAGGTGCATGTAGAATTCATTCTGCATTAACCTTAGCAACTCTCTTAGGTAATTCTACAATAAAAGTGTACCTGTAGCTTAATATACTGACTTTTACAGAAGTACAATATAGTGCACATAGCAACAAAACTTTACACTGTTCAAACAATAACTTACGCTAAGAGTCTATATAAAGTTGTTTTCAAATACATGTGATATATCTTTAATTTCTTTAAAACACATCATAAATTATCATTTTAAAATGTTACTGTTTAAATTTAATATTTGAAGCATGCCAAGTTAATTGAATTAAGGCCTCATTATTGTTCTTCAATAAAAAACAAGGTCACATGACACAGTGCCTCCTACATGTAAATTTTAAGCCTTTCTTACAAGTTGTTTGTCCATGTCACTGTCCTTTGGAGAGCTGACAAATATGGTCCCCTGCATCAGACCCGTAAAACACCAATAGGCATCCACTTCATTCTGAATCTCGGCCAATACAGGGGCCAGCAGGTCTGACATTCCTTGGGTGTAACCCATCCTTGGATTGGCCACTGCATAATTCAGCAAGATGTTCCTTAAAAACATCAAAGACAAGGTGTCAGGATAAAGTGGTATAGGCCTATACCATTTCAATTTCAAACCGTCTGATGATAATATAAGTTCATCAGTGAAATGTTGATTAAACAATTAAGTCACTTGCAAAGTAAACCATGCAAGTTAGTTATGTGGCTAAGTTCACCTCTTTTCATGTTTTGTGTGGAAGGAGATGGTTCACAACTTTGCAGTATAAATCATGCTATCTTTAACAAAGTGCACATTCACTATATATTTTGCAAGATTTGAATACCTTTCAATTCTTTCTGAATATTCCCCAATATAATTTATACACATACAGGTAAAAAAAAAAATAAAATTATGATGGCACCAATTCATGACTGTGCCAAGTAAAAATCCTGGTTTATGGCTACATTAATTTTGGAATAGGATAATAAAATAACACGACTAACTGCTACATCATAGTAATTTTGTCATTATCATCTTTACATGGTGTGTCAAAAGCTTATTACAGATTTTCTGTGTATAATACACGGAGACTTACTGAAGAACCTCTATATTAGGATTATCGTCTCCTTTGAAGTATGGATGACTACGGTCAGTTCTGACTACATCCTTCTCCACAGTTGACTGTATCTTCCTCCAGAACTGTTCTCTCTCTTCAGGAGTCATGTCTTCCCTTTATAAGACCAAAGCATGATTAGTGTTCTTGTCATATAATTTGTGATTCCCAAGGAATCTGTATATTAAAATGCCTTGTGTCCCGCAACTTTGCTGCCTTATTCTTTTCTTTCTGTAAAGACTTTTTTTTTTTTCATGGCAAGTGTATTTTTTAATTGAGATCCCCCCACACAATGCTTTCTTGGAAAAGCTGAGAGAATATTTTGTTGTGCAGCTTGGGTAAACATAAGAACTCATTAGGATTTATAATTGTATTTTGTTCACTCTCAGTTAACTTTCTTGCAATCATCTTTAAATTAGAATGTCTGCAACATTTCATTGCAAAAGCTAATATCACCTCAAAACAGTTAATTTCAAAAGCTAGAAATTAAGTCTCTTAAAACCATGTGTTACCTCATTTTTCTGATGTCTTGATACTGAATGTACCGATCATTCCTGATGGCTTCCCTCTCCTCAAATGTGGAATCCCAGGGGTAGTAATGGAGGAGGAATGGCCAGGTCTCGTGTCGCAAGTGGTGGTCTAGTCCACCAAAGAATATATGCTGTAATTTACAAAACTTATCAAAGTCAGAATTGTTATCCTTCAACTAGATAATTTCACTTTGTAAAACATTAGTTTTTCTTCCTAGATATAAAAATCACAGGAATAAAGTTTACATCAAATGCAAGAAACAGTGCCTACTCTTACAATTTAAGAGAAGTTTGTGAGTACAAATTGAATTCACATTTATGAAATTTATATGGAAGACATGCAATGACCTTCCTGAGTTGATAATCTTCCTCTATTCTTCCATCACTTGTCATGTGGATCTTCCATTCCTCCTCATTCACCATGTTGTAGATGCCTTCCTCCGGATGACACTGTTCATCTGTAAGGTGTGGCCTCACGATCAGAAACTGTTTATACTGGCCCTCATTCTCCTTGTTTTTCTGAAAATATTGATGTGAAAAAATGTGATTTTTCACAAAAACAGCCAAAAATATTAATGATGTATCAGTCTTTTCCAGGAGTGTCCATATACTTTCATATTTTTTGTCACACTGAAAAACAGATAAGTTTACTGTCTCTCTTCAAAAATCTTACACATGTATATTGAATGATGAATTGTCTAAATTTCAACATTTTGTCCAGCACGGATTTAAACCATAACTGTAAAAGCAGAAATATTCATTGAGGAATAAATGTTGATGATAACATTTGTCAAGTAAATTAAATCTTTCATGAAATTTTCACCCAGAAATTAAATTTAACATGGTTATGTCTGAAACAATGAAATCAAATCCCCAATAAATAATTTTAGAACACAAATCAAATGCAAGTTTATCCCCAAGAAAAATTTCTGCTTCTACAGTAGTAGGTACATGTATTATTACTTTCACAACATGCAAACCTTATCTTTCAACTTGGCAAACAGATTCCAGTCTTCAAAGATTTCTGCCAGCTTGTCTAGACCTCCGTGATGGAAGTGTAGGATTTTATACTGACTCTCTCTGCTGGCTATAACCACTTGTCCTCTGGTGCAGTAAGGGTCGGAGTAAAACAGTCTGAGAGACCTCATCTGACCTGCAGAATGAAAGATTTGACATTAACTCAAAAATCATTTATATACTGGTACATTTACATAGAACATAACTGTATCCTTACATAAAAGGCAAACGAGGTGTAGTAAATTTTTCTGGTACATGCATAACATAAATGAAACAACAGTCATATTATCAAGCATAAAGTTAGATTTTTAAATAACATTTAGCATAGAACTTGTGTAGATGTACCCCTAACTTTCATATGAATATATTGTACATCATGTATACTGAAACTATACATACCAAGATCTACAGAGAAGACCCCACACATCTGGTCCTTAGCGCTCCTCTTTTCTTGTGACCCCATGGCATACGACACAGAGCTGTGGGGAAACGTCATGTTGTGGGACACTTGGACTGATCCTTCACTGCTCGGTGAGTCCGGGGACTTGTTCCATGTGGGAGACAGGGGAGGAGATTCCCCCTCACTGGGTGGTTCCGAGTCTGGTCCTGACGTCAGGGAGGATGAGGAGGAGGAATGTCGACATCGAGTCACAGAGATGTCAGGGGTCGTCAAAGATGGAACTGAATAATAGCCATCGCTGCTGGCATTAGTGTTCAAGTTTAGGTCTTTGGGAACATTGGTCCTTGTTGATGGTTTTGCTGTTCCCTCTGTTACTGTTTCAGAGCTGTCACAGGTACTCGAGCCATTGTCATGAGTAGAGAGACCGTCTCGAAGATCATCAATCATTCTGTTATAGTGAGCACCTGAGGGACTTGGATGCGTCGAATCAGAACTCAGACTAATTCCTTCTGCGTCTGTTGATTGTGAACTAGAGCTGGTGTCAAATTTACTCTCATTTTTATTTAGGTTCTTGTCAGTTATATATTTGTCTATGTTCATTGACTGTGGTTTATCAATTTCCTCTGTAACAACAACCAAATTATCACCATCCATTTCGATGCTTACTGATTTATTAGACTCCAGTCTATTTTTAGCTTTAGCATGGAGTTTATTCCTCTTTAACAGGGCTGCCATTTTTTCTTCAGCAGTGAGACCATCTGTTGTGTCTGAAGAAGAAATGTCTTCCTCCGCACCATTTCTATTGTCAGTTTTCAATTCTGTGTTACTATCTTTCTCAATATGCAAGTCATTGACATTTCTACCAACAGTCTGACATTTTTTAGGAATATTTTTCTCATTATTTTGCAGAACGTCCTCTGTATCAATACCGGAATCGGTTTGGGATTTATTACTAGTGCTCAACTTCCTGTTGATTTCCTCCAGCTGAGACCAGCTATCTAAACAGTCCTCCCTGGATCCCATAGAAATTTCTGAATTCATACTGGAATTGTCGATGCTCTGTTTTTTCTTGTTTTTAACTGGGCCTTTGCCCATATAAAACTGTTCACATGCATCACTGCCCACAGACACGCATGACCCCCTTGGAGAACTGCTTGGGGAGGGGGTTGTGACCTGTTTTCGGGCATACTCTTGTCTAGGAGTTCTTTTTGGGCTTGGTGTTGTGGCATATGACCTGTTTGGGCTCTCAATGCTTTTTGGGTTCTTTTTCAAGGAAGAATTTGGTATCCATGTCAGAATCAATGTGGGTCCATTCTTCTATGGAAAAATAAAGTTTCTTCATAAGAAGCATTTCAATCAGTTACATACTGTAAACGTACATAAATTAGTGAAATTAATAAATGAAAAAGGATTATTCATAAATCTAAGGCAACAATACCAAATACGTGTATTGGATAAAGACCACGAATCATACTACTGACTGTATTATAACTTATAAGTTATCCTGTATTTACACAATAACAATTACATATGCCAGCTTTATTAACCATTTACATCACTGAATTGAATGGAAATTTTTATATATGCCCCTGAAATCAGAGATTCAAGGGGCATGTAGTTTTGGGTCTGTTCTTCTGTCTGTCTGTTTATCTGCAAAAACTTTAACCTTGCCCATAACTTTGAACTGTTGGTGCTAGGGCTTTCATAGATCTTGTGTATTCCATGTGACAAATCCCCTCTTTGAGTACCATTTACTTTTTTACCTCATGACCTTGACCTACAAGTTTGACCTATTTTTGTAACCATGGCCACAAGTTCTGAATTGTTAGTGGTTGGGCTTTCATATTTCACAGTTTATTCCTTGTGAAAAGATCTTTCTTTGGGTACCATTATTTTTGACCTCATGACCTTGACCTTCAGTTTGACCTACATTTAAAAAACTTTTATCTTGGCCATAAGCTGCCATATGAAGGCATCAGTGTTTCACAAACACATCTTGTTTTTTTTTTTAGTTATTGTATTATTAAATTGAAAATCAATGAACACTTACGAGGATCTTATAAATAATAAACTAGAACTGTCCAAAAGGAACAAATACCCCCCGCTGGGTTTTTCAGAGAAGGTACCAAATCACTAATGTTTTCTAGATGTGAGAGGTGTTCACAATTTGCTTAAACATTTAGTGTGAAAATTTAATTACTCATTATATTTTTTTTTAATGAATGAAACTAAGGTGCAGCCTAATAAAACATCAATACTAGTAATTACAGTGTTTTTTATTACATTGAAAAAATAGTTTGCAACTATCTGTCATCTTTGTGAGACATGACACTCTGCAAATTGATTGTTGAAAAAAAAAAATCATAATTAATTATACAAAATCAAATTGATCTTAATACCTTTATATCAAACTCATTTTAAAAATAAAAGGCTGGTTCCAGTAACTATGTATTTTGACAGACATAAATTACAATTAAGAGACTTAGACAACATAGATCTTTATTTCTTTCTGCCCAATTCCCAGGAGACATAGATAAGACCTGCTTGATCAGAGATGCCCTAATAGCTTCCCACACTGAACTCATTTATTAATCTTTAACTGGATGCATGTCCACTCATTACTCCCAAGGGACAAATGGATTTACACTATCTGCTGTGTAATGTAAAAACTGTTTTTAATCCTTGGTGATTTTTTTTTAGTTCTAATGAGTAGTTTTAAGCTGTAGTTCACATTTTAGTACAGATGTTGAATGTTCTAGATTCTATGTCTCAAACCTTAGACATGAACCCGAAATGAGTAAGTCAATAAAAATGAAAAAAAAAAACACCTGTAAAATGCAGAAAAATTATCAAATAATGTTGAAAATACCAGGTGCACATCTTCAAAAGGTAAATAATAAGTGTACAAATTTTCATACAAATCTATGCAATAGTCTCTGGGAACAGATCCGGACAAAACCACATAATAAAAATGAAAAAAAACACATGTAAAATGCAAAAAAATTATCCAATCATGATGAAAATACCAAATGCACACCTTCATATGGCAAAGAATAAGTGTACAAATTTTCAGACAAATCCTTGCAACAGTTTCCAAGAAATGGTCTGGACAAAATCTCGTCTACAGACAGACGGACAGACAGACACACGGACAGACAGACAGACAAGCTGATTCCAATATACCCCCCCTAAACTTCGTTTGCGGGGGGTATAAAGAGAATAAAACATAGCTTACATCATCATCATCATTCTGTGACCTCAAGGTTAAGTAGCCTGGGTGATGCTCTTCATTTTCCATGGCGAGAGTTGCTGGCGGATGAACACACACATTGTTTTTACAGTAGATGATTTCCCCATCAAGTGGCGGTGGCTTGAGTTGGTCGGTGCCAATACCAAGTAAAGTCGTGGCCTTCTTGAAAATGGATCCTAGAGCCATTATAGAATCCATCTGGATATATCCCCTTACAAGGACAAAGACTTGATGTTAACGTCACCAGTACCACAAGGACATGGTTCTGCTGCCAAAAAAAAATAAATTACAAATAACAAAAAATAGTAATTAAAGAGAAACAAATGAAATGGAGAGCAGAGCTCCTCCTAGCTGCTGATTAAGGGTTTTCTGACACTTCTACTGCAGTCTTTAATTAATTGGAAAAAGTTTCAAGATTGCTTACAGTGGGCTACAAGTCATTCAAATCATGAGGGACTTAGAATCTCCTGGAAAAACTGCTGAGTTTAAATGTCAACAGACATTCCTCATAAGGAAACTTTTCTGGCATTGATTTCATGACAGATCTAATTGCTGGAGAGAGATCTTGGAATTGTTTTGGTGAAAAACGCCCAACATAAGTACCAAGAGCATGCAACCGTCTTTGTACTGGGACTACTATTGTCTTCATGTGTAAAGAGGGCTTCAAATCTATGTAAAATGCAGTCTACTTTACTAAATATTTTAATAAATCATCACTTATACATAAATTAGAAATATGTCCATAGGACATGAATGCCTCACCCAGGATTCATTAGTAATGCAAAATGAAAATTTGTATTAATGTATGAAGTTTGATGAAAATATCTTGAATAGTTTCTTTAATACTGAGTTTAATACAAAATAAATAGTAAAGTCAAAGGTCACTGGGAAGGTCAAGGTAAAAAAGAAATTGGACACTGTTGATAAATTTTATTCAAATAATGTATCAGTGCATAAGCTTACATATCTGGAAAAAATTCTTTGAAACTGAGCTAAAAACAAATTTGAGAAAAGTGAGGTCAAGGTCAAAGGAAAGGTCAAAAGATGCACTTGAATAGTTCTCCTCAATATGTATGATCAGCATATGAAGTTTGATAAAACATTTTGATTTGCTTCTTTGAAACTATAAACTAAACACAAATTTGAGAAAAGTGAGGTCAAGATAAATTGAAAGGTGAAGGTCAAAAATGTTGAAGCAATTGAATAATTCTCATCAATATGTATAAGCACCTATAGTTCCATAAAAATGTCTTGAATACTTTCTTTGAAATTAAGCTAAACACAAATTTGAGGTGTAGGTCAAAGTATTGATGCCATTGAATTGCTCTCATCAAGCATTTAAAGTTTGATGAAAATATTTTGAATACTTACTTTGAAATTTAGATAAACACAAATTCTAAGTCAAAGTCAAAGCAAAGGTCAAGGTCAAATATGGTGATGCCATTGAATTTCTCTTATCAATATGTATCAGCATATAAAGTTCGATAAAAATACCTGGAATACCTTCCTTAAAAAAAGCAAAACACAAATTTGAGGTCAAGGTCAAAGGAAACGTCAAGGTCAAATACAGTGATGCCATTGAAAAGCTCACATCAATATGTATAATCATGTAAAGTTTGATAAAAATTTGAAATTGGGCTAAACACAAATTTTGAATCAAGGTCAAAGAAAAGGTCAAGGTCAAAAATGTTGATGCCACTGAATTTCTCTCATCATATCTGTAAGCATATAAGTTTGATAAAAATATCTTGAATAGTTTCTTTGAAACTGAGCTTAATATTATTCTAAGAAAAGGGAGGTCAAGGTCAAATCCCAAGGTCATAATGCAGTTGAAGAGCTCGATCAATATGTATTAGCATTAAGGTTTGAAAAAAATATCAGAAGTATTTTGAAATTGAAATACTAGTAATCACTAATTTAAGAAAAGTTAGGTTAAAGTCAAAGGAAAGGTCAAGGTCAAAAAAGATGTTGATGCACTTGAATAGCTCTCATGAATATGTATCAGCATATGAAGTTTGATAAAAACATCTTGAATAGTTTCTTTGAAACTGATCTTAACGCAAAGTGTGACGAAAGAACAGATGGAGGGACGAAAGGATGGACAAGACAAACACTATATGCCCTGGCCATATTCATGGTGGGGCATAAAACTGCACAGGATTAAAACACCGTACATATTCACAAGTTTTAGTGTATACATGATAATAAATTTATAAATGGACAAATTGAAGAAAACAAGAATGAGACATTATTACCCAACAACAGCAGAAAACTTCCCAATATTGATCACCAGAAGGAAACTTCTTCATTGATAAATTATCATAGTTTTACTTGCATCACCATTCAGACCGTGAAAAGAACATAATCTTAGATGACACCACCAAAGTGAATAAGATTACAGAAACCATTCAGAAAACACATTTTATTGATCCAAGCATGTACATACTGGGATGTCTGTAGGAGAGATAGTTTATTGACATTGTTGGAAGTCGAGAAAACGGGGAAGAATGGACAAGCAAATCAAATCAGTCTTTATCTCCGATACATCATACTAAAATCAATAGTCACAGTATATTTTGAAGTGTGTTCCATCTTTTTAGTACAGTAGTATATTCTAATCTGCTCTCCAAAAATATAAAACTATCACTTCACAAAAAAAAGAAAAAAAAAGAAATTTGGGAATAAATTTCATCATTAACCGAGTTGATTGTTAGATCCCATTTATGTCCTACCAAATTTAAAAGCTCCATTAGGTTTATTGCTCATATTTCACAAAAAGTGCCCATGTTTTGCTTTGGAAAGAAATTGACATTTTGAAATTGACTGGTTTCGTCTCCGAGTGTATAATTGTTAGTCATTTCAATATGACATAAAAGATTGATGAGAAAATTATCTCACTGAGGGAAATTTGAAGTAGAGGCTCTCAAACCTAGAAATGATTGTTGGCCCTAATTTTGTCAGGGCTGTGTAGCTTTTTAAAATGTGTCGGACCCACTTTGAATGCATCAGTTTACTTGATAATAATAGACCTTATGTAATAAATGAACATTTATACAACTACAAGTATTACATAAAACTGTTCCGACAATTAAACCAATCTAGAGTACAGGTATTAGTCATATATTGTAGAGTCACGAAAACTGACTAGTAACAGCTTGAGTTCCTCTAGAAAAGTACAGGTTATAAAACCAATAGAATTTCTATTTTCCCCAACAATAGGCAATAGCATTGATTCTCAATGAGTTGAACATAGATCTGTGCTTCAACAATGGAATCATTAGTCAACCCTGATGAGAGATTCAACAATGTGTATTAGGTTAATATAAAATTTGCTCAATTAATAATTAACACTCAGACATATATGTGTTATAATAAGGGAAATCTCTTTTCTTTGCTAATATCTATAAAATACACAAACTGTTAGATTCCCTAGCTTCTACTCTGACATTCCATATTAATTTTTCTGCAGGAGAAACCTTTGGTATTGAAAAGTTCAAGATGAAAATATCGAACAATCTAAAACTATGGGATTTCTTTGAGATGTGTTAAAACTAAGCTACAAATCCGAAACAATCAGATTGTTCAAAGAAATAAAGTATTACTGGTAATAGGAATTATGATAATAAAGTACCACAAATGGGTAAAAGAAAAGTCAGGGTATATAAAAATGTTTATTTAAAAAACAAAATTTTATGCTCAGCAGATGTAGTTGGGTCCCTACATTTTTGACTGTGTCCCCCTAATTTTATTTTCTTGTTTACAGCTCCTTGCTGAAAATATTCAATCCACATTTCTATTGTCATATGTTTTTATTTGAAAAATAAGACATTTGTGTCCAAGTGATAAGTGCAACATGATAGTATGTTTTATCGTTTTATATTAAGCATGCTATATATTTAGCAGCTAATTTTATAATGTAGATGTATAATTGGGTCCAAACTGCGGGAATCTATCAGGCCAGGTAAAGTGAGTGCTAAATACAAAACATTTCTTTCGACAATGGTCTACAGTGCGTGACTGTTAAACAAATTAAGGACACATTATCATAATATTATGACATACATATTTATATCAAAACTACAAAATAAAATCTACCGGTAACACTCTTCTCTTTCCTTTGTTTTGAATGGCTTTCTGAGTATCCCTGCATTTGCTTAGTAAATTGTACACCAGAACTTTGATTCCATTTAGGCGTTTTATTTTTTTTCTGATCAATTTTAACCACAACTGTATTTACCAATAATTTATATAGGTTCTAAAGTTTCTAACACAAACATCCATTTTCCATTACTTTGTAAGAGAGGTCTGTTGCATCTCCTTCCACAGTCAAAATAACTGTGTTGTGGATACATGCTTTAAAATTTTGAAGAATCAACACAAAACGACTGTAGGGAAGATCAAATTTGGAAGTTAAACAAAATAAAAAGACATGGTTGCTGAATGCTGATTGGTTGATTGAGTGCATTGACTTGAGCCAGTAATATACGAGTCTAGTCATACTCAAGCTTTAATAACAGACTTGTTAATCTGTAAATACTAAATAGGGAATAAAGCTATGATAAGTCAGCTAGCAAATGGAGTGGTCATCTTGTCAAACAGTTCTTGATGATTCAGAATTATTGTAACTAAGAACACTTGTAATTCAGACTTCTCACCCTCAACAACTCTGCAAACTTTAAATATATGCACAGCCAACAGGTTCTTTGGACACCATCAGATAAAAAAAAATTACTTAGCTCAATCAGTACAGAAAATCAATGCATCAATGCAATAATGGTGCAAATAAATCATTTCAAACATGTAAAATAGTTTTCTCATTTACAAGATGTTGTTTTTTGTGAACATAGCAAGGGCTCAAAAATGTTTTTGTCCAAGAGTCTCAGTTTCTGCATGGATACACAATGCATTGCAAAGCAACACTGAAAATCACTTACAGACAAGTTAATAAAAAGTGAATTTGGGAAAAATTGAAGTTGACTAGTGGGAAAGTTGACTTGTTTTACAATAATTGATACATCAATTCAAGAATCTGTGGAAAAAGGAAAGAAGAAAATTTATGGCTAGACAAGGAATGGAACCAGGGACCCTGTTCTAACCACAGAGCCATCCAGGCCAATGTCCCCAGTGCACACAACCAAAAGCATCATATTCTCAAATCTTAGGTACATTCAGCACCTGATATAACATGCATGGACAATTTATGGCTGAGTTGAGAATGGAACCCGGGACCCAGGCTGATTTCCATGGTCCATATATAGCCCAAACCCCTACATAATACTGTTGGCCCAAATGCCACCCAGTCAGAGTAATCAATGATCAATGGTGTTTGAATAACTTGAAGGAAATCCACATTTCTTTGCAGATGACTTCCTTCTTTCTCTCATACAACCCTGCTCAGTTAGATAGTGTAGTTTCTTATCAATTTGACCTGTTTCAATCCTTAAAAAATTAAGAAATCACAATGGAACAGACTTCGAAATTTTTATACAATAAAAATACTGAAAATTCAAAATCAGTGAGAGAACTTGAACTGACATTTTCTGGTTCAATGTATAGAGTCTGAATACATTATAAAACTAGAGGTATTGTGAGAAGTGAGCTCACAAAATGATACCCCACCTCGCACATGATTATAATGGCAAAGTCCATCTTTTGCTATGAGAAAGTCCAAATATCTATCCAATCAAAACATAAAATAGAAGGTGCACCATGCACTGGGTAATAAATATTCTGTGAAAGTATTATTAAATTCTATACAGAGAACTAGGAGGAGTTGCAGATAACAAATGGGTACCCTCAATATTATAAAAAGAATGGTAGTGTCTATGTTTTGCTATGGGAAACCTAAAACAAGAGGCCAATGGACCACAATGCTCACCTGAATCAATATGGCCCTGCTGTTCTTCATCAACAGATTTCTTATTTTTGTACGTAAAGCTTTAATTGCCTGTTCTAGCCACATCCTACCCCCAGGTGCCATGTTTCGAAAGAAATTGAATCTAAACTATCTTAGGATGCTTCTGTATTCATATGACTAATCATGGCTTTGCTGATCTTGAAAACAGAATTTTAAAGATGTCTGCAACCCTACCCTTTGGGGGGTGGGGGTGGGGGGGGTAGGGGGTGGGGGGGTCATGATTTGAACAAACTTGAATCTACACTATCTGGGGATGCTTCCATATCAATATGACTAATCATGGCTTTCTTGTTCTTGAGAAGAGGATTTTAAAAGATATTTCCAATATATGTTTATTTGTAAAACTTTGACCCCCCATTATGGTCCCACCCTACTATTGCCCTACTACTGGGAGGATGACTTCAACAAACTTGAATCTACACTACCTGAGGATGATTCCATATCAATATGACTAATTGTGGTTTGCTTGTTCTTGAGAAGATTTTTACAGATTTTTCCTATACATTACTAAGTAAAACTTTGATCCCCCAATGCAGCCCACCCTACCCCCAGGGGTCATGATTTAACAAACTTGAATCTACACTACCTGAGGATGATTCCATATCAATATGACTAATTGTGGCTTTGTTGTTCTTGAGAAGAAGATTTTTAAAGATTTTTCCTATATACCGTATTTGGCTGAATATAATACGCACTTTTTTCCCAAAATAATTTTCTGTGAGAAAGGGGTGCGTATTTTACACCACAATGGGATTTTAATAGGTTTTTCTTTCATGTGAAACACGGCTATCATATGCACATACCGTAGTATTACCTAGAGACTTGTGCAATTTCTTGCTGTTTATCGCCGTATTTAAAACTTCGGAAAGTTATTGTTGGAATGTAGACTTGTTAAAAATGTTATATTTATAACCTTTTGATAGTAAAATTAAATTTAAAAGCAAGTTAAAATTAATTTGAGCTGCTTGTTCATCGTCTCCGTGTAAGCCGCCATTAACGATGTTATTTATAGATGTTCATACATTCCTTTGCCACGTGCTTCCGTAATCAACGTACACATGTACCTAATCAGTCAGACACTAGGTCAAAAAAGTAATGTCATTTTTTAATGAAATACAATAAAATAAAATTTATTTTAGGTTTTTAATAACTCAGTGAAAATTCCTTTCAACATAAACACCCCTCTATACGTCCCAATGAATGGAAGCCAATGTTATGAACACATGCGCTTGTCACTTGATAATTACCCCTCAACACCCCTCCATCAATTAAATTAAATTGTTTACCGACTCCAAAGCATTGTTTTTACAGTTAGAGCACTGATCATTTACTGCCCTTATTAATGGCTTTGCTTATTTTCTTTCTTAAAAATCGGGGGTTGGTTTATGATCTTTCGTTATAAGCGTGTGTTGATTACGACACATTAAACAGTTAAACGCTTGTTAAATGTAATTTTACTTTGTCTTATATCGGTCTCGTGTTAAAATGATTGAGAGTTAAAAAAGGAAATATGAAGTATGTTGAAACTTAAGTGTTATCATTTACTCGTGCTCTGGAGAAAATAAGATATCCACGAAGATTACCTCGATGTATGAATACATATATCCCACCTTTGTAATCATTTTTCACAGCTTTGGAGGTGTGTTGATAACTACACTTTATACGCTTGTTAAATTTTGATTTTATTTTTATAACATCAGCTATTTATTTAATTAATTAATTTCAAGTTCAAAAGAGGAAAATCGTAGTCTATGAATACTTTGATGTTGCAATATCGCTTCAACATGATTACCTTTAACTAAAAATAAATATGACAACTGTTAAACTTGCAACAATATCTCGTGCTTTGTTGAAATAAAATTATTTCCACAAAGAATAGTTAGAATACGGCGACGTATAATTTCAATATCACCGTATGCTAAAAAAAATTAATAATAAACTCTGTACTTTGATGCAACATTATCTCGTGCTTTGTTAAAAATAAATAATTTCCTCCAGATTGCCGCGATATGGAAAGCCAAGATTAAGAAATAAAAACGCATTTGAATAAAATATCGTGTTCTGTAAATTTTTGGCACTTTTTCTCCGCGCCGATTTTCATGGCAAATTACCGTGATTTTCAAAAATTCAGAACACCGCTTGGTAAAATTTTCTGCTGCGTATAATACAACCGAACTGCGTTTTTTCCCCCAGTTTCAGGCTCAAAAAGGGGGGTGCGTATTTTACACCAATGCGTATTATATTCGGCCAAATACGGTATATTCCTATGTAAAACTTTGATCCCCCAGTGTGGCCCCACCCTACCCCCAGGGGTCATTATTTGAACAAACTTGAATCTTCACTACCTGAGGATGATTTCATATCAATATGACTAATTGTGGCTTTGTTGTTCTTGAGAAGAAGATTTTCAAAAAGTTTTTTCCTAAATATTCCTATGTAAAAATTTGATCCCCCTAATGTGGCCCAACCCTTCCCCCAGGGGTCATGATTTGAACAAACTTGAATCTACACTACCTGAAGATGATTCCATTTCAATATGGCTACATGTTACTTTGTTGCTCTTGAGAAGAAGATTTTTAAAGTTTTTCCTATATATTCCTATGCAAGACTTTGATCCCCTATATTGTGGCCCCACCCTACCCCCAGGGGTCAAGATTTGAACAAACTTGAATCCACACTACTTGAGGATGATTCCATATCAATATGACTAATTGTGGCTTTGTTGTTCTTGGGAAGAATATTTTCAAAAGTTTTTTCCTATATATTCCTATGTAAAAATCTGATCCCCTATTGTGGCCCCATCCTTCCCACGGGGGTCATGATTTGAACAAACTTGAATCTACACTATGTAAAGAAGGTTTCAATTAAGTTTCAATTTTTCTAGCCCAAAGGTTCTTGAGAACAAGATTTTTTAATGATACCACCAAAATCTTCAGTAATTCTTAATTATCTCCCCTTGAAAGAGGGTGTGGCCCTTCATTTGAACAAATTTGAATTCCCTTTACCCAAGGATGCTTTGTGGCAAGTTTGGTTAAAATTGGCCCAGTGGTTCTGAAGAATAAGTTAAAAATGTGAAAAGCTTACAGAGGGATGGACAGATGGACGGCGGACAAAATGTGATCAGAAAAGCTCACTTGAACCTTCGGCTCAGGTAAGCTTATAAGTGTCCAATAAAAAGTACCCCAAAGCATAATGAACGGACAGACATAGAGCCAGAAAGATGGACAGACACCTCCACCATCACCCACACTCCACCCCACTCCTTTTGTGGTTAGTGGTATCCACAAAATTTTGTATTTAGGAAGGTGGACAGATATTTAAGGTAAATAGATATACATGTTTAATGCTGGTTACTGGAGACTTGGGACAAATACAAACTATTGGCTTTCAAAAAAATGTCACAACGTCATTGTCTAAACACAAATAATGTCACATGTAAAATAAGTCATATGTAAGCCATTATAAAAATGTCCAATGAAAAATACAAAAATGGTGTAGCCAATAATTTGGACCATTGAAAAGCAATGCACTGTGTTTATCAATATTACTCGGAATAAAACAACCAGGAGGACAAAGTAATCATTTTCTGTACGCACAAAGTATGTGAATGTGAAGTCCACTGTGCTAGCCAAAAGTTCATTTTCTTTTAAATACCAGTATCTTATCCTAACATAAAAATGACAACAAGCCCGTAGCAATGGTTTCAAAAGTGGAGGGGGGGGGGGGCAACTTCCCAGAAAAATCTGACAAGCAAAAAAAAACAAACAAACAAACAAAAAATCCCCCTAAACTGACCAGAAGTGGGGCGACCAAATTCCCATAATTATCTGAAAAAAAGAAGTCATTCACTGTCCACATTCCTATGCCAGTGCTCGACCTTACAACATCAAAAAGTGTGGGGGGGGGGGGCATCTAAGGAAAACTGTAACTATAGCAAAATACTACACTCAGAAAAAGGGGTGGGGCCCCTGCCCCCCCCCCCCCCCCCCGCGTTCTACGGGCGTGTACAAATGTACACCGTTACTACATATAACTAATCTCCGTTTCATAAATGTCAAATAGAATAAAATGAAATTATTTCAACACAGCTGATTGAACATCCTCTACGTAGCATAAACACAAAGCATGCCTCAGATAAAGAAAATTACAAAGTCATAAGTGTTTAATTGAGGGTTTACATTAAATTACATCAGTTAAGATTGAAATGTTACCTTTTTCGTTTCTAATTAGCGTCGAAAAACCAAGAAAAAATAATTGCCATCAACCTTTCTTCATCATTATGATGTTGACACATATCTAATATTCAATGTAAAGTGAAATTTCATTGGTTCTATATTTTACACTCGGAAATCATTTCGCGAAAAACTTTACCTTGAACAAGGGAAAATACAAGTAGAGTCCGAAGGCACAGATTACCCATAATTCACCAAATTATTATTTCCTGCATAGCAACAACTACAACTATGGCAGATCAAGAAGAGGGGTAATGTATTTCGTTTAAATTCATGATTATTCGAATTTTTAAATATTCTTTTGTTACATTTTTGAGTTGTGAATTAATGAGAATCTCGGAAATTGAGTCTTTATAAATGCCAAGTTTTCTTTTCTTCGATTTATAGTTATGTTTATATCGGGTATATGGAGATCAGTACCATTTTTGAAGTCTTTTTTTGACAATCCTGTCAGTCTCTTCCTGTAATTTAATAATTTATAATATAGTATGGTTGTTATGGACCAAGGAGGGGAAATACTTTTTATGTTGAGTACAGGGAATTTGCTAGTTAGAATAATCTAACTGTGTCTCGGAGCAAGCCCTCAGTCCTCACCACAGTTGGAATACGTCTATATATATATATATATATATATATATATATATATATATATATATATATATATTGACTTCGATTAAAGTGCAACCTATTCATCTGTTCATGTATAAGTCTTCCTAAACAGAGTACACTAGAGTACGTTAGAGTACTTAATATTATTCTGAGGTAACAGATGGGTTCTTCTGATTACCTGTTGCCCTGAGCGGTTTCGCCTCAAATGGTTCGCTCCATTTATACCTGTATTGATGACACACACACACACACCCTTTACAGTACAGTAGTCATAAGGTGTCAAATCATGGCATGTGTGAAGTTTCGACAAATCACTAAAATGCTTGTGTATCTGTCTGTTTACTATGGCGAAGGTTTTTGATGTGAAATTTTAAGTTATCCAAAACTATAATACAGTAGGTGTAAGGTGATTAACTAAAGTGAATCAGATTTTGTTCAGAATTTGATTAAAGGTGGAGATCACTTACTATGATTGGGACCTAGAATAAAGTTCGAAATATCTGAGGGTTTGACAAATTGAGGGTAAATACATCAAGGAAAAGTGGTTGGGACCTCCAAATAACTTTGGTATTCGAGATATCAATGTTTGAATTACCAAAGTTCAACTTTATGTAGTATGTTATCATGTAGAGACATAAATGTTATTGATTTCTGTGGTTTTGGTCATGTATATATTTTATTGTTGCATAACCAATAGAAATGGACACATTAGTAGTTACTCTTCTCAAATATTTAACAAATGCAAAATAATGATAAAAAAAGAAAAACATATTATTTAAACCTACAGAATTCAATTTTTTTTGCAAACAGCAGCAAAAATGCCATTGTTTAACTTTCAGGTTAGGTTTTAATTAAAATTGGAAATAACTTGGTATTGATATGCCAACTATTATTTAAAGTAACTGAAGTGCTTGTTAATGGCTGCACTAATGAACTCTGACCACTGTTGCTTAATATAAACATCCATTACTATCTTTGGGGGAAAACCATGCTAGCAAATCTACTCAGGGTGAACAGAGAATTGGGGTATAATCACACAGATTCGCATGCTGGTTATTGTTTCATCACTAATGACAATTAGTACTTCATGGGTATTTACTCTTTTGTATAACCAAATCTGGGCATCTTTTGCCACAAAGAAATTTGCATAAAAAATGACTTTATATACATATAATTTTCTTTTTTTTATTTTTAGACCTCCTTCAGGTGAAGGCAAGGAAACTTTGGGCAATGTTGTCACTGATGCAACTGTGAAAGCTCTACAAGAGGTAATTATAATGAAGCAAATAATAAACATAAACCAAACAAATTTAATGAATATCCAGGGCTTTCAAAGAAATTAGAAACAGGTAGTACTTTTACAAAAATGAGAGGTACCATGTGGAAGGGATTTTAATTAAATATATAATTGAATTTTTCTCCATCAAATATTTTGGCAGGTGCAATCATAATTTCAGCCAGGTAAAAGTACAGGGTACCGGCAGATTTTGAAAGGCCTGAATGTCATAAAAGATATTACTTATCCTAAATATAATAAGGGTTTTTGAATGTAAACTAAGCATAAAAAACAAAAAAATGTTGGAAGTGTCAGTGCATGTAGTTTTATGATTTTGTTCATTACAAGTATTGTTCAGAATTTGGGATGTCAGGAAGCCATGTTTTAATTATATATAATTCTCATTTTGATATTGTTAATTATTTTTTGTAGTTTGATTCTGGAGAAATGGAGGCTGGTAAGGAACCTGCCCCCTCATCATCAAGACCACCCTCAGGGAAACCATCCTCTAGGCCTGCCTCAGCTAAGCCAGGTAAGATAGCTCCAACTGTAGCTAGACATTCTATAAGCCCACCTCACCTAAGCCAGGTAAGAGAGCTCCAACTGTAGCTAGACATTCTATAGGCCCACCTCAGCTAAGCCTGGTAAGAGGGCTCCAACTGAAGCTAGACATTCTATAAGCCCACCTGAGCTATGCCAGGTAAGACAGCTCCACTGTAGCTAGATATCTAGCTCACCTCAGTTAAGCCAAATAAGACAGCTCCAACTGTAGCAAGACATCTCTAGGTCCACCTCAGCATAGCCAGATAAGACAGCTCCAACTGTTGCTAGACATCCTCTAAGCCCACCTCAGCCAAGCCCAATAAGACAGCTCCAATTGTAACTAGACATCCTTTAAGCCCACCTCAGCTAAGCCAAATAAAACAGCTCCAACTGTAGGTAGACATTCTCTAGACCCATCTCAGCTAAGCTCCAACTGTAGCTAGACATCCTCTAGGCCCACCTGAGTTAAGCCACTTAAAACAGCTCCAACTCTAGGGGGACTATAGGTAGACATTCTCTAGACCCATCTCAGCTAAGCTCTAACTGTAGCTAGACATCCTCTAGGCCCACCTGAGCAAAGCCAGGTAAGACAGTTCTAACTGTAGGGGGGCATAAAAAAATGTATCCTATACCATTCAAAATTATCAAGGAAAATATTAGTAACAAGTTCCTACCATTATTGTGTATTATTCACTGTCTTCTGCACATAGAAAGTTTTACCCTGTGTTTTTGTTGTGCCAAAATGCCTCCAAAGAGATTTCACATTAAGTTACAGTTGTGAAGTTTACCTACTCCAGATTTAACTAAACTACTCTTTCTTTATCTACCAAGTTTCATTGGCCATTTGATTTAGGAAGTACTTTCATAGATTTAATAGGGAAAAAATAACAAGATAAAAATTTCCAAGAATTTAATTTAATTAAACTCTCTTTTGTGTGCAAACCCAAATATCTTTAATATAAAATTTAATGATCACTTCAATGGCTTTTTTTCCTTTTTTATGAATAAACTATTTCTTATGCCAACCATATATTCATCTATAGGTTCTAAAGCTGGATCTAGGCCCACATCAGCCAAACCTAGTTCTCGTCCAACTTCTGCAAGATCACCTAAACCAGAGACTGGTGAAAAGCCACCCTCCCAGGTAGGAAGTAGACCTCCCTCTGCAGGCTCAAAAAGAGGATCAAGGCCACCTAGTGCCACAGAAAAGAAAGGGTCTAGACCCACAAGTGCTGCTGGGAAAAAGGACTCCAGACCCCCAAGTGCTAGTAAAGGTATAGAATAACCCAGAAAAGATCACATCAAACACGTTCTGTAATTTTTTGTCCACAAAGTGCCACATAACCCTAAAATGTCTCCATTTTCCATTTCAAATTTTGAAACAGAACTGTATTTTATCTTATAACATCCCATACCCTGGGATTCTTATGGTAAAATAAAGTAGTCCTAGGGAAAAAAAAAGACAGAAAAAGAAACAATCCATTTTTTCTTCAGTAAATTTAAGAAAAACATACTGAAATAAGTACAGTCAAACCTCGTCATCTCGAACTCGAAGAGACTGAGAAAATACTTTGAGATATCTGAGGATTCAAGATATCCAGGGTAAAATACTTAAGGAATAGCAGTTGGGACATCAAAATGACTTCGACATATATCCATGGTATTCGAGATATCCGTGTTTGAGATACCAAAGTTCAACTGTAATATTGTCTATGTAAATTCAATTTTTACAAAATTGTAGAACTTTTTAAAGGAGTTAAAAGTCAGAGAATATCATGGAATGTATTGGGTAAATGTTAGAGTAAAGATGATGTTCATAAAATCAGTATATATATAGCTGTAAATGTTAACTGGAGATAAATTTTCTTTTCATTTCAAAGTACTCGTCTTGTACTTGAAGGACAGTTGAACAGGCTGGCCTCCAGTACTTATAAGTTTCTTTGATCAAATATGCAAGAGACACGTTAAACAAGAGCAAACTTATTACAATTAAAAGAGTGCACTGATATATACATATAACCCAGGAATCCTCTAAGCAACTGGCTTTCTCAGTTTGATGTGGACAACTGTGAAACCACAGCATGAATGTGTGATATGAGTATTTGTTGGGGATTTTGTAATCAGTGTCTCTGATCTCCTGTTAAGATAGGCATCAAATAATCAATGGATTTAGGAGGGTGATTTGTAAGGAGATTATAGTGATAATGTACTCTCTGTTATATTGATCCCAGTGTTTGTTAAAACAAAGTTTTTATCACAAGCAGATGTTTATACTAGACAGTGTCCCCAGGGCCCTTGTTTGCAACCTGCAAAAAACAAAAAAAAAACAAAAACAAAAAACAAAAAAAAAAGAAAGAAAGAGGGTAAAAAGAAAAAGAAAACAAAAGGAAAATTGAACTCTAAACAAAAAGCAATAAAATTATAAGAATTTGATTTCAAAACCTCTTTTTTATGATGTTTTCCCACTAATTTGACTTAATTGCAATAAATTATGTATACATCTTTATTTATCTGTCTGATACTTTCCTTCAAATTATAAAAGTAGTTATTGATCAAACCCATCTATTATCACTTTTGACCCAAAAATATTTGAAT